GTCTCTTCTATCTCATTTGGTATTTTGTGTTTAATTTAATTTTCTGCATGTAATAGTCTACATTATTACTAGTGTCATGTTCTAGTCTACATTAAGGATTATTTTCCCAGTCTTGAACTATATCTAAACCCTTTTGATTTTAATTTTCTGCTACCATAGTGTTTGCTAATCCCAATTTGTGCATGCACACCTTTTATGTACTTTGTTTTCTGTTAATGTATTTCATGTGTGGACATACAAGTTATATGCCTGTGTGGTATGCTTTTGTACTTTCACATGCTGTCTTGTTGGAGTCTTGTCTCATTCCTTCTGTAGAGCCAGCACACATATCTGCCTGTTCATTGATATTTGCACCATGTTCCTTAAGACTCAGGTCTGCCATGTAGGGCATCAAAGGTATAACTCCCATTCTCATCTACCAAGAAAGCTGGTATTAAATAAGCAGCATGAAATTGTACAGTATGTTGTTGTCACATTAAGATGAGCCCACAGCAAGATCACTAAGTGACGTCACAAGACTTGTTCAAGATAGCGCTGTGCAGTCAGTTGCGATCAATCACTAAAAGTGGAATTGCCTTCTAACTAGACAATCCTGCCCTCATTTGAACCTCCCCATTGATCTTGGTGAGGTGTTGTGACTTAGATCATGACCTGTCATTGATGGACATGTTATGATGTCAGATCTTGCCAAGTTAGAAATTACTGACCATGAAAGCCCCAGGGAATGCTGTGCATGTAGATGCAACAAAGACTTTCTTTTGGCAAGTGGCAAATCTTCCTGATTTTCACCACATCATTCAACAGGTTAAAGCATCTCACCATTTCATAATGAGGTAATTTACTTCTATCGTGGTCAATTAATTAAAATGATACCAAAACATTTAATAAATTCATTAAAACCCATAGACTACATTTCTCTAAAAACAGCACTCTAAGAATGTGTTTCTTTTGATGTTCACTATATGAATTTTGGTTTAGTAGCCTTCATACTTCTTGATTTCATCTTTAATACGAGCTTGTGAGAAAGGTGTTACTTTATGTATAAATACACTGGAATTATTGTCACATATTATAATGATACACTATTTTATTTTCAAAATGAAGTTCTGACTCTCATTGATCATTTTGTGTGCATAGTTCAGGTGGGTAGCTGCGTCAGCATGCGTAGGCTGCAAAGGAACAAGTAAAGGTTTATTCCATGCTGAAAAAAAGAAGAAAGAGAACACAACGTTTCGGCCGTGGAGCCTTCTTCAGGTGCCACACCTGAAGAAGGCTCCACGGCCGAAACGTTGTGTTCTCTTTCTTCTTTTTTTCAGCATGGAATAAACCTATTACTTGTTATTTTGTGTGCATGACCCTTTAAAAAAGTAAATGAGGTCATGGCCTCTGTTAACCATTGTGCAGTCCTTGTTTTTGACAAGTAACACTCTCAGGTGGTAAACGGAAAAGAATGCAGCAGTGTTCCGCAGCTAGTTACAATAAAACAAGGTAAAATTTGGAAAAGAGAAGAGGGGATTTTGTCCACCATGCATTCACTAATCCCTTTAGGGCCAACTGTGGAATAGACTCGGCGAAGGGCAGATTGAGCTCACAGTAAACAGCAGTGCCAGAAGAGTCTTTATTTCCTTCCCTGGATTCCAGGAAAATGTTATTCCCCCCTCTTTAGTAAACACTGCTTTCTGAACAACTGCCACACGTGCTGGAGCACTATGCCTACACTGCGGTTGGTGTATATCCAGGATAACTTGAGCCAGCCAGCTACGTTTATGAATGTGTCTACCCTCATCACCCACCTCCTGTTCCAATGCTAGCAGTGCATGCTGTGCACAAAGCAATAAGAAATGCTTGTGTGTACTGGGCTTGGGGTGGAGAGTTGGAAATCATTAATTACTTTTTAAATGCACTTGTTTCTTCATTTAGAACAATGCCTGTGAATGTTTTACCTTACAGGAGCTACCAGTTTGGGATTGTACACTGTAGATTATGGGAGACAATATAAAATAGACCCTGAAAAGCACAGAAGTCTGTATAAATCTGTAAGGATGTTCTTTTGCTGGTGTTATGACACTCCTGGATGTCCTCATTAGTGTATTCTGTAGTGTAATGCCACTACAGAATAATGCCACAATTCCAATCTAAACAATCATGCTCTTCTTAGCCAGGAAACATGACTTCCTCTTGTACTGGGTTTTTCCTTTAACACATATGTCTAGTTTTGAACCCAGCTGTTGTATGTGCATTATTGGTGCTGTGATAACAGTATTGCTTTCTTTTTTCTCCCACTCAATACTTTTACTTTTAGAAATCCATAAAGAGATGTAAAATGATTTTCTCTGTTTTTCCTGTATATGTCTAATTGACTATTTCCACTTTGCTTTTGCTTGGATTAGTTGTTATACTAGTTGACTAGGCAAAGAGAAATAAGAAGCTATTTTTAAGTAGCTTTTAAGAAAAGTTCTGACTTGTTTTTTAAGACAAAATGGAAAGGGTGATTGTGGTAACTATCATAACCTTGCACAAGGATCAAAAGCCAACTAAAAAATAGTAAAGCCTGAGCTAGTATGCTGTTGTTGTGGTAATCCCTGCTGTTACTTATTAAAGAACTGTTTAAAAAAAAGAGTCAGAAAGGGGGACTTTTATTTGCCAAATTACCAGTACACACAGGATAATATGCCCCAGTATTGAAAATAACGAATAGGTCTCCCAATGTGGAGATGAGGACTGGGTTAACCTAGACAGGAAGTAGCTAGGTGAAGGAGGAGTTTGTTTCCTGTTTGATTGTTGATCCTTGTTGTTCCTTTTTTAAGCTTTTTAGTTTTGTGTTAGTCTCTGTACAAAAATATTTGTTTTTCCAGGGAGTTGCTTCCGGTCTTCTTTAGGAGCATGCAGGAATCATTCCTCCTAGACCTTGGTCTTCGTGATTGAATCTTTGAAAATCTCTACTTGACTAAGAAACCTTACAGAGAAGGTGCAGGTGTTTTATTCTGAAATCATATAAACTATTACTGCACACAGAGGCAAAGCAATGATTTACCCTTGTACCTGAGCTAATTTAGGTTTAACATAGAAAAGGGTCTGATAATGTATGTAATCAGTTTCAGATTTTAATTTTTCTTTGCAGATTTTGCAGACTTAACTTTTCACCCATAAATATATAATTTATAATGTAAGGATTCTAAATTGTGACAAAATTGATAAATACTTAGGCTGTGAAGCGGCAAAGGAACAAGTAAAGGTTATTTTCATACTAAAAAGTAAAAAGAAATAGAAAACAATGTTTTGGCTTATATTTTATAACCCGTATAAAACTAAAATATTTTAGTTTTTGATTGTTTTAGCAGTTTTTGCTGACATTGACTACTTTTAGTCAAGAGTGAAAATAATTAAATTAAAAAAGTGTGTATAGTACATGATTAATAATTAAACAAAATGGAGCATCAAAATACATTTACAAACGGGCTGTAGGAAAGCTAATGGAATTTAAATCTAGGGAAGTTGGGCTCAGGCTTTATAATGCAATTACAATTTTTTCATCCGTTTTCACACCACCAAAATGATATTATAGCCTAAGAAAAAGTGCACAAAGATAAAAAAGAATAGATCTGTGCTAGAATAGTTCCCTGGGAAATGTCATGTACAGAGAGATTAAGGAAGATAAATCTCCTCAGTCTGGAACCATAAGAGATCTGCTTGAAATGTCTAAACAATTTCCAGGGTGAACTGGGACTATTTCAAATCCACTAGTGAAGCAGGGAAACGGGTCAGAATAATGTGGGGAAGCAATAGAAAAATAGATAGGCTTGTGTACTTTGGGTGGCAAAAAGTGTGTTATTTAAATACATGGAAATTATTCACAAGTTTTACAATGTATTAGTAAGACCTAATGTAGTACATTGTGTTCTGTTTTGGTCATCATATGGAAAAAATATAATATTAGAAAGAGTTCAAAGATGGACAGAAAGAGTGGTTTCTTGTGGTTTCAGAGGATTGTCATATAGACCATGTTAAGGGAGTTTAATGTCTTCAGTCTAGAACTAAGGAGTTGAGCAGATTTGACCCAAGTATATATAAAATCTGAGGGCTATTGACAGGGTAACAAAAGTGGATGTAAGAAATGAAATAAGGGCATGGGTTGATAACTGTATATAGAATTGGATGTTAACTACACTTAGTCTTAGCAAAAAATGCCAAAAAGTGATGGATCTTTAAAGATAATTTATTCAGGATAGATCTGGAAGTAACACAAGGAGTTAATATTATCTGGAACAGGCTTCCCAACTGGGTGACTGGGACCCAATTTTGGGGCTCTTTTATGAAACAGCTAGACCAAAATGTAATTTTAGTTAGTTATAAAGCAAACAAAATGGGTTGAAAGGCCTCCCTTGATGTGAGAGGAGCAAATGTCAAAAGTTCTCATTGTCTCCTAAGCAATGATCCTACACTCACAGAGTCTCTCCTGATTGGCCAAAGGGTAAATGTTTACTGAAAATGGATATTAAAATAGAGGCCAGGTCCGCACTAGGAAGTGTTCCCTCACTTAAGTGGAAATAGCCAGCATACTCAAGGAAATCTGCATGACTTTCTAGAAACACATTTTATCATGTGTACTTAACTAAATTTCTCTCTCATGCTAAGCACTTTCTACATTCTGAAGAGCAATATTTGTCATTGTGCACATTATCATCACAGTACAATTGATTTTGCCTTTCCATTTGTGTCTGAGAGAATCCCTCTAAAAACATGTAAAAATCTTGAGTCTTTCCTGATCATTTATGACAAGTGGTTCCACTTTGGTCTTCTTTTTTTCTATTGTCAGTGGTCGCTTCTGCTTTTTTCCCCAGACAGAAAATGCTGGTATCAATTCTCTGTTTCACCCATATTTTTTACTTTTCAGTGTACATCCATAGTGAGAAGGTGTGATTTTGAAAAATGCTACTGTTTTAGAGGGGTTTGAAGTGGAAGGTTTTGTTCAAGAGCAATGTTGCAATGTTCACTTCCAGAAGATGAAGTGACAGAGGAATACGCATGTCAAGATGCAGACATTGATTACCCAAAGAAAGAGGAAAATACAGATCATCAAAAGAGACCATCATCCAGAAGGTCCCAGAGCGGCAGATGTGAGTAGGATCAATTTTACCTACTCTTAGTTTGCATTTTTGTAGAGGATGACTCAAAACTCCTGACTCTTTGTCGATAGAAGACAAGACAATCTTGTTAGGTTGAAGTAGTTCAGGTGGGTAGCTGCGTCAGCATGTGTAGACTGCAAAGGAACAAGTAATAGGTTTATTCCATCCTGCAACGAGAAGAAAGAAAACACAATGTTTTGGCTGAGGAGCCTTCTTCGGGTGTGAGAACCCTCACACCTGAAGAAGGCTCCACAGCTGAAATGTTGTTTTCTTTCTTCTTTTTTCAGCATGGAATAAACCTAATACTTGTTCTTTTGCAATCTTGGTAGGTGGCTAACACTAAGGAAGAGAGCCTGTTAACTTGAACTGCAATGTATTCACATGTTTTACCACAACTAAAACCACAATTTAAACAATCCTTTGGATGAAATATAAAGGGTCTGTTGTGATTAGGCATTGATTGCATTCTTCTTCTGCTGTTTGTTAGATGTTAAAAATGTTTAATACATAGGCTTTTATTAATTAACATTCAAAGAAGCAATCTGAAGTAGGAGAATGTGATTTTGATTAGACACACAGCAGAATGGGAATTACAAAAATGACATTTTAAGTACTTTAATCAAATGCTGTAAAGCAAACAATTGCTGAATTCCAAAGACTTCAGAGTTTTCCATTGATTATTTTTCCATATAATTTTTCTTTTGGTTTTAAAACATAGTTCTTTGCTAAAAGGAATACACAACTCAAATGGAAGTGTATCCATGCGCAAAACATCTGTTAAAAAAGTGAGTGATGATAGGGCAAAGAAAGGGAGTCAAAGTGTAATGTAATTCTATAGCTGAACAGCAGTCATCTTAGCTTGGCAAGTATACTATAGGGCTACTGATTTAATGGCCACAACAGCCAAGTTATTCTGCTAATAGTCATATGCAATTAAATTTTTTTGAATGGATTTATGATTAAGAACATAAGCAATTGCAAGCAGTCCTTCAGCCCCACAGTGTAATCATGGTTACGTACGATGGTTCATGTGATATAATGCCTGCGTGGAAACTCAGGGAAAAATTTGTGTCCACATTTTTCTCTGTTCTGCAGCTGTCCTTTTTCAGCAGTTGGCAAAGCTGTTCTTTGGTTGCCTGGCAGCTGTGATGAGTGGTATGATGTATGCAATATACCTCTCCACCTACCATGAAAGGAAATTTTGGTTTTCCAGCAGACAAGTAAGTTTTCTCTCTTGTTTTAAGTACAATCCTATGATAGAGTCCCTTCCTATCTGGAAAAAATGTTAAAACAGATTTGCTCAGAAATTGTATTTAATTTATAAACTCATACCAAATTGCAACAACAAAACAATACAAGATTATTTAGCCTTTTTAAAATTAATTTGACCAAAACAAGTGGTTATAGTAATTTTCTCTAAATTAATATGCAAATAATTAGAGTAATTATGCAAATTTAATTACATCCATTTTATCTAATTTACTGCAGTTTCCACAGGTTAAAATTGGGGGGTTCAGACAAGGTGAAATGAATGGCCAAGCCAATCCTTTATCATGGGTATCAAGAAAGCTGTTTAAAACTGTACTGTCAAGTGTTTTGTGCACCAAAGATGTGGATTAGTCCCAAACATCACATGCTCTATGAATGGTCATATTAGATGTCCATCTTTCAAAATTATACTTAGCATCCGGTATAACATTTATTATACCGGATTAAGTGTTGCACAGGATGATGTAATCCTTTGAATGTCATGTCTGGTGAAAATCAAGATATTAAAATAACCAATATGTCCCATTTATCAAGAGAACAATGCCATTGTGCCATCTGTATGTTGGAGGGGCCATAAGGTGGACTTGTCAGCAGTGAGCCAAGTCCTCTTTTGCTATTTGTTGTAGGCCACTCTGTTAGTGAGTGTAGCTTTGAATTGCAAACCAGTGCATTAATATTGTGTACAATAATACATCAGGAGGAGGTCCAAGTGTGGTGGTCTGGGAAGAAGTGTCAAGTCATTACATGTAGCTTGTGCTACAGTTATCAAGTCCTGGGACTTCTTTTAGCATCAGAATCACCTTTATTCGGCTAGTCCATTTAATGTACAATTAATTTATTCTGGTGTACTTGGTGCTGTAAGAATAGCATACACGCTGTATATCATACATAAGCAAGACAACAAGCATTATAAAGACAGTGTACATATACCTAGGAATTCTGGTTAATCAGAAACACAGGAAAGAAGCAGTGGAAATACCAGGTGGTTCTGATTGGTAACCTGGGTGGGAGGGCTGATCAGCAAACTTTCTTGTCCACATTTTTGCTCTGGAATTGTACAATTCTTAAGTGCAGGCCAGATGACAGCCAATGTTCCTCTCCACAGAGAAAACAAAACTGCCTTTGAAACAGGCAGACACATTGCCAAACTGTTACAGAGGCAGTCAGAGTGCTCTCAATAATGGCTATGTAAAACTGTATTAGAATGGATGTTGCATGAGAGACACCAAAGTTTTTCAGTTGGCACAAAAAGTAAATTCTCTGCCGTGCTTTGTTTGTGATACTGGTAGTAATATTATTATTATTATTATTATTATTATTATTATTATTAATAGCTTACACTTATATAGCGCTTTTCTGGACACTGATAAATAAGGGCCTAGCTGTATCCAATGCCTTATATCACTGAGATAGTTGAAAACCCACTGGAAGAGGAAAGTGGAACATTTGACCATAACAATTAAAGGAGTTCTGGAATAATTGTATTAAGGCATAACTAAAATCCACAAAAATGATTCTTCAGTAGATGTTGCAAAATGTAGTCAAGGCCTAGTTATCAACATCATCCACTGACCTGTTGGCCTTATATGAAAACTGTAGAATGTCATAAATCTGATATGATCTTGAGATAATGAAATATCATGCGATCAAAAGTTTTCATTAAGAGCCATTTTCAAGTAAGAGCCACTGGTCTATAGTGATTAACACAAGCTAGTTTGTCTGCCTTTGGTGCAAGAACAATAATGGATGATTTAAAGTATGTCCAAAATTCAGCAGCCGGAATCCTGACCAGGTCTAGTGCAAGTGTTCACATTACTCCTGTCCTGGAGTCCTTGCACTGGCTTCCGGTCAAATTCCGTGTAGACTTTAAAATCCTCATTTTACTATTACTCACCTATAAGGCTCTGCATGGCTTGGCACCTCAGTACCTGTCTGAACTATTATCGCCCTACTCCTCAGTCCGCAACCTCCGCTCTTCAAATTCTGCCCTCCTTACTGTCCCCCAAGCCCGTCTACATTGTATGGGTGACAGGGCCTTCTCCTGTTATGCCCCCAAGCTCTGGAACTCTTTGCCCAAGGATATCAGAGAGTCACCTTCTCTAAACTCCTTCAAATCCAGACTCAAAACCCTCTTCTTCAGAAAAGCCTTTACTTAACTGGTTCTTCTTCACCCCTCTGCTCTTCTTAGTACCACCATCCACAGTCTCCTCTATATATTGTAATTGTGTCTTATCTTGTGTATTCTACTTATTTATTGTTATACTCTTCTTATTTATTGTTATTGTCATCCTGTAAAGCGCTTTGAGATGCCACCTTTAAAGGCGCTATATAAAATAAAGTTTTTTATTATTATTATTATTATTATTATTATTATTAAAGTAGGGAGAAAATCTTATACTATATACCTGGAAACAGATTAAATATACTGATTAAACACTGGGGCTAACTGCTTTGCTTAATGCTTTAATGTAACAGGGGAGACCAGTCTGGCAGCTTTCCCATGGTTCTACCTTGCAAAGAGCTTTTAAATTGTCCATTATTTAATATTAGAGGAGAGGAGCGAGTGCTGGTTTCAGGTAAAGGGAAGAGTGAAGCAACCAGACAATGAAGTAGTAGAATTTGAAGATGTCTGCAGAATTTATGAACTATGATCATCATTAAGGAGCCTCTGTTTTTCAAAACGACAATAAAACACAGATGAAAGCTCAGTGTGCATCCCTTATTGTAATCAAGGGTTTTACCTTCCCTAGATGAACAGTTAATCAACTGGTTACAGGTTATAGTAAGTAGGGAGGTCACTTATGGTTAGTATGGATAAAGTCCCTCATAATAATAAATGGAGAATTTCAATGTTTTTTTCTCATATAATAGATGCAAAATCTGTGGGAGAATATAATTTTTTGCAGCCTATATACAGTAATTTAGGAAAGAAAAACAGTTTTTGGAAAGAACAGGGACATTGTTAGACCACTTTTTGTTCAAATTAATACACAAGCTGCCACCTTTAGATTTCTTGCTGAGGTTAGCATCAGATGTGCCCTAAATAGTCAGGTAACTGCAGTTATAAATCAGGAATATAGGTTCCACGCCAAGGTTCAGTACAGCAAAGTGCTGAATTAAGAGACTAATCCTGGTTTGTGGAGAAAGTTGTAGTTCTTCAATTTCATTACTAATTTACCAGACTTTGGAGAGAACACTACATTGCAGCAGGACAATTCACATCCTTGTGCTGCTTATGTAACAGTGACTTTTTTGCAAGATCGGAATTTGAGAGTTACGCCGTGGATGCCATACTTAGCAGACCTAAGTCCTGTTGAGCACTGATGGTATGAGCCGTGATGACATGTGGTATCTGAGGCTCTGTGATCAGTGAATAGGCGTTTACTTGTCATAGCTCTAGGAAAGAAAAGGGACAGAATAGCATTAGGCAGCATCTAAAACTTGGTACATAGCACAACACAAAAGTAGTTTCTACAGGTGCACGCCAGATAAAGGCTCCACAGCCAAAACATTGTTTCTTTTCTTGTCTTTTGAGCATTGAATAAACCTTAGCTTGTTCCATTATAAATTTATGTATGTTATGTCTGCTCAATAGAACTTCAGTGCTCCTCAAAAATAGTGTCATTTTCTTTATTATTGCAGTTATAAGTGATAAGTGTTACTTTTATTTTAAAACTCCTATTTTAAAACCCAGTCTTCAGTAATGGCCATAGATCTGGGATACTAATTTTTTAAGATAACATTTTTTAGCTTCATGAAAAATTAAAGGTCCGTTAAATATCTGAAATTGACTTTTTCTGTCTGTTAGGAGCTGGAGCGCGAAATCACATTTCAGAGTGGCAGTGGAGTGTATTACTATTACTACAAACACCTGCTGACTGTGCCCTCATTTGAAAGAGGTAAGTCATCACAGTAGTATTCCCAAAACATAGACAGACTATAGGCATGTATTCCTGACTGTGTCCTTGGGATCTTATTGAGTCATATAGTAAGGGGAATATCACTGTTGTTAAATAGACTCACCAGAATTATTGCCAGATTGCTAAATTGAAATGAAGGAGCCACATGAAGCCCACTACAAATGTCATACACGGAGCTTATTATCTCAAACATTCAGTCCAAGTGCATTTGTCCAGCCAACAAGGCAGTTGCCATCAGTTCCATTTCGGGGATTCAATTAGCCACACACGAAGCTGTCACCTTTGGGATTTTAATTTAAGTCTCGCGTACACAGTGCTCAGTGCTCAAGTGTGAAGAAGTCACAGATCTAGTTGGATGGTTGTGTGTTTTTTGCATGAAAATGGTTAAGAAAAATTGAGACTTTGCTCATACTTTCTCCTCCAAATTCTGGAGCAACAACAGTTATTCACTCACTGAAACTGTACTTAATGTTTATGATTTCATAAATCTTAACTGTTATTGAAAAGGAGAAAAATAAAATAGCGTGATTCAAGAGAAATGGAAAAAATTCTGTTCATTCAAGCCGGTAGAAAGCCGATTTGTATAATAGGTTGTTGCTAAAGAGAAATTAATGATCACAAAAAGTTTTTTTTGCAGTTTTTGTATCGTCTTTGCCTTTTCACTGTTAAAAATGCAAACTGCTGATTATGAAACATAGCTGCTTGTTATCATCACACTGTATTAGTCTTATCAGCCCTTCAAGCAAAGTTTTCAAGCTGGATCTCTAATCACAGAGTCCACATAACTTGCATTTCAGACCTGCAATTTTTTAGTTGGTTTAGATATATAGATCACCCCTTGAAAAGATAACTCTTTTGATTTTCATAAAAAGACTGTAAGTAAAGAAAAATTTAATGAAAATTACATTTCCTTTACTTTAGATGTAAAACCTTATAACACATTTGCAACTCGATAAAGCTTCCAATATTACACAATGCTACCTTAAAGAGTCCTGAATTTTCAAAGAACATTATCGCATGTGTATGATAATTTGCCAGTTAAACTTGTTATAGTAGTTAAAGTATTGCAAACTGTTGAACATAGATAGCTCAACTGAAGGAACCTTTTTTCTCACCATTTCTGTCACATCAAAGATTTACAGCCAGGGAAAATGCTTTCCTTATTATCTTTCTGCAATAAAAAAACACTTAGCAAGCAAGACCACAAGGGAAGCAAGGACGAAGTGAATCAGCTTTGTTGCAGCTTTGTACAGTCCTACATCTACATGTTGAACATTCATGTAATTGAGCGGGTATATACAGTTGCTTATTTATTTTCACTAGTTACTGAACGAGATGTTCAGACGATTTTCAACAGAACAGAGATTTATATAATGTCCAATAATCCCAATGATTATTTTTAAAATAATCACAACTATGAATGTTAAAAATATCACATAAAGAGAGGGTAATAATTAGGTTTGTTAAATTTTCACACAACGTTTTAGCCTTGGAGCCTTCTTCAGGAACCTTCTTCAGAGTCTTCACACCTGAAGAAGGCTCCATGGCCGAAACATTTTGTTTTCTTTCTTCTCTTTTCAGCATGGAATAAACCTATTACTTATTCCATTAAGCCTTTAATGCTTAGGAGCAGTCTGGGGTTTTCTGAGTGACCACAATTTTTAGGCCTTTGAAACACCTTGCAGCCTATGCATGCTGACGCAGCTACCCACCTGAACTACTTAAACTCTTAATGCCTACAGAGGCCACATAGGAGATCATTTGCCTTCTAACTAAATGCAGTGGAACCTGCAGTTAAATCTGTCTCTCTGCACCCCGGATGCAAAAAATATATGGGAGCCTATATCCCTATCCATAAAAATGCACCCCGAGCACAAAAGACATTTCTAACTGAGGTATCTTTTACCAATGGAACCCAAGTTCCCTACAAGTACAGAATAGCACACTCTCTCTAGCAAGGTTCAAATACTTAGCTCCAGTAAGGTTTGGTTTGGGAGATCATGAAGAAGGGCTTCTCACCTGGCGCAAGCTTCAAGTCCCCACTCTTTCATACTCTTGTCTCTCCACCCCTTCTTCACTGCTTCTTCTTGTTCTTCCTCTCTTTGTGCTCTTAATTGTGATCTTATATTGTGTGTGTCTGTACTGCTCCTTGACAATCATTAACACACAACTTACCTAGGTAAACTAAGGTGAACTTTACAATTGTTTTTTTCTGAAGGGACCCCAGACCTCAGCAAACATCCTCTCTGCTTTGAAGTTAGAAGTGTTTACTCTGCCAGGTGTCACAAACTATCTAAAATCTAAGAGACACTTCTCTTGGGTAAAGCTGTTACAGCTTTACCTAAAGCTATAACAGTATTATCAGTCCTTGATGTAGAATTAGTTATTCTGCTACCAAAGCTGTGTTTATAGCATTAAGTGTATTGCTATATTAACTGTGATTTTCTTCTTAAGGAGCAGGTCACTGAGGCATGAACTTCTGTTCTGTTGCAGGAGTTTATGAGCTGACGCATGATAACCGGACAATATCAATGCAGACCATAAATGCAGTGGAGCACCTGTCACTGTATCCAGAGCTCATCACTAGCCTTTTATATAGAATTACTGGAAGCCAGGTACTCCTCAAATTCAGAGTTTTTCCTTTGCTATGTTGATCTGCAATCCCTCTTACTCGATTCATTCTGAAATCCTAAATGGGTTTTTCTTCCTAGAGGTGATCTGTTGTAACACATTCATATCTAAGCAAGAAAAACAAAGCAGAGAGTGTGGTATTGTTAAATAGTTTTAGATAAAAATCCATTAATATATTTTCTAATTTCTTTATCCAATCCACGGAGGAGATTGCGCCTATACCATTAAGTAAAGGGCGCAAGGCAGGATAGATCCTGGACTGGATGCCAGTCTATTGCAGTGCACACACAGAGTCAGACAAACACACTTGCTTCAGTGCCAATATCTGGCACTGGAGGAACCCCAAGTGAACACTGGGAGAACAAAAAAACTCCATGCAGAAAGCATCCCAGGAATTGAACCCAAGGCCCCAGTGCTGTGAGGCAGAAATGGTAGCCAGTGCACCATGATGCTGTCTTTGATATAATAATATAAAATAATTCTATAGTATACTGCTGATGCACACATAAGAAAGTCTAACTGCAGTGGTAAAAAGTTGTGTTACTGTGTTACTGAGTAAAGCTATTATTGTTATTTTCTTCAACTTGAGTATTTAAAACTGTACTATATAAAATGATTTTTGTTAGAGCTCAAATGCCGTTTTATGGGAATGATGATTATGCAATTGTCCTCTGATAAGTATGCTCCTTGTGAAACCATGAAAACTGTGGTTTGTAATCAAATGTTCTTTTCTTTAGGAGGTGATAGAGCCTGTGTATTTCTACATTGGTGTGGTGTTTGGCCTGCAGGCCATCTATGTGACTGCCCTGTTTGTCTCCAGCTGGGTGATGAGTGGAACATGGGTGGCAGGAATGTTGGCTGTTGCATGGTACATAATTAACAGGTAAGAGACTCCCAGACAGCACCATTTCCTGTACTTCAGCCTCTTCAGGCTCTAGAAAGAACAGAAGTACAGAATCGAAGTACAGCAGTTCCTTATCTTCTCTGCTTCTAAATCACTTTCTGGACATCAAACTGCATAGCTGAAAGAAGCCACTTTATTACCAAGTGGGTTTAAGTTGTAGCAGTTTCATTTCAAATCAGCATTTTTTTTGTTTCATCTTATTTTTGAGTTAGTCTTGTTTTGTAATACATTAAATACATTGTTGTAGAATATACAACTGTTCTATATGTTTGCACTTCACATCCTTATACAATATTTAGACTTGAGAAGTATTTTAAGGTAAGACATAGCAAACCAAATTCATACATGAGAAAGCATAACAGCTCAGGAGGTTCATAAGATCTGCAGTTTATTATTCTTATACCTACCCAATTTGAATTGTGTGTTTTTTCTTGGCTCAGCTCATAGCAATGATCCCCACATTTGCACGGGGGGAGGGTAAGGAGCTTTAGGCAGATTCCTCCGACCTGCCCTCCTTCAAGCTGCTTGTCTTCTAACACAACACAGGCAAAGCAGCCTCATACTGGAAGTTCAGCGCTGATCAGAGGAGGCCTCTGGGAGTCTGTCATCATGGTTATGGCTAATGACATGACCCAGTCCGAAATGCCTGTTTCATAGAGCTTGAAACTTACTCGTGCGAGTGCTTTTTTCTGGAAACAGGGCTCACCCCTTGTGCACCCCCCTCACTGGGTTTGAGAATTGTACATTTGTTTCCAGGGTCCTTCTCGAAAATCCATAGAGGTTTCTGGACTCCTGGTTAAAAACAGCTGTAATATCAATTACAGTCTTTTTATCAATATAAGTTTTTGTTTTTGTGTTTTATTATGTATTATTTTGTAAAATGTTGAACTGTGTTTTCAGGCCTGACACAACCAAGGTAGACCATGCCATTCCCCTAAGAGAGAATTGGGCTTTGCCTTACTTCTCCTGCCAGGTCACTGCCTTAACCGGCTTCTTGAGGAACAACATCAGCTCAGCTACAGAGGTGAAGCATGGCAAACATTTGTGCTGACTTCTGTTACAATATAGTGAACTTAATTGCTTTTAATTTTGGGAAAACAGGCTAATAAATGAGACAATAAAATGGCACTTAAAAAAACTTCAACATAATATTGTTTTTTAATTGCTTTGGAATCACTAAATGTATAGATGGCCAGATTACTAGGGCAAATCATGTAGAGTTGTCTCAAAATGTATTGCATTAGGTACAGGATTGTATATGAGGCTGTTGAGCAATATTAATATCAATGTACTGTAGTGTAGTGGTTCATCCTACAATTTAAAGTTTAATGGTCTCAAATTTGATAGCCTTCTATTTAAATACTGTATTAATGTTATTTTGTGCAAATGTTTATCTTGTTATATGAAATATGAAAAAATGAAATGGACATTTTAAATGTTTTTCTTTTAATTAACTCATCTTTTTAAATTTGAACGAGGTAGTCAATTTTCCTTTTATATTTGGAATCATATAGTACTAATAATGAAATACAGGTTGAGAATCCCTTATCCAAAATTCCTGGGACCAAAAGTGTTGCGAATTTAGGATTTGTTCGGATTTCTGAATATTTTTATATTTGCATCTATAAAATGGGACAGCTTTGGGATGGGACCCAAGGCTAAACACGATATCCATTTACATTTCATAATAAAGCTTATACATATACCCCGAATGTAGTTTTATATACATTTTTAATATTTTTTAAACATAATACCATCAGAAAGGTAAGATATCAGTCTCCACCTTGATGTCAAGTTTTGATTAAAAGGTTACAGTACATGTACGCCATTTGTATTTTATTTTTTACTATACAGGTATTAAGTTTTATGTGAGGTATAAAAACAAAACATTGAATATGATTACAGGTAAAGAAAATGAAAACGGAAAAAAGTCCGCATTTTATTTTTAAAGTAATGTACAAGTACAGGTAATGATGCTAGTCAAGTTACACTCATACATGGAGGTGAAATTCAGATCTCACGTAAAAATAACGTTTTGTACTTGCTGTACAAAAAAAAAACAAAACAAAACATGATGATCACTGCTTACAAACTTGAAGATAAATGCAGCCCCAGACATTACAACTACATCAGGTCCGAGAAACTTGAGGGAGAGGGTATGTCATCGATGATCACTGTGAGCTGGAAAGTTCGGTAAGTTATTAGTGGAATTTTCCATTTGTGGCCTGTCATGTCAGCGTTCAAAAAACGTTAGGATTTTGGAGGTTTTGGGATTTTGGAATTTCAGATAAAGGATAAAGGATAAAGGATTTTCAACCTGTACAAAGAAAGCCTGACTATGTAGTATGTTTAATAATAATAAAGTAGGAAGACGACTTTTGCTTCTTCCATAAGTATGTCACGTTTTATAAACCAAAGCTCCACAAATAAAGGATAAATTACTAATTCAAGCCTAAAAAATAGAATTTAATGCAAACCTGATATAAAACGCCATTCTTGCTGGGGGTTAAAAACTACATCATGAGCGGCCTTTGGCAGAACAGGTGCAGTATATTCTGCACAACTTATTTTTAAAGTTTCTATTAGACCAGTCAGTGCGCCCCAACCATAGGATGAATAGAACCGTAGCAGGAATGAGATAAGTTTAATGATTGGGAGTATCATTTGCATTTGTCTGTGACTTGTCTTTTATTGCAGATGTTCTGCTACCTGCTCATTAGTGCTTCCACCTTCACCTTTATCATGATCTGGGAGTACAGCCACTATGTGCTCTTCATCCAGGGCCTTGCGCTGTTTTTACTAGACAGCTTTGATTTGGTGCCACCACGCAAGGTACTGACATGTTCAGAGAGAAGCCATTTTTAAGAAAGGATCTTTAGTATTTATTTTTCAAAGAGATGCCTTCTGAAATTATTGTGATCATTATTATTCTTTATTTATAAGAAGAATCCTTTATCCAGGGTTACTACAGTGTATAAAAAGACGTACATTAATTATATGGCTAAGGCAAACAATAGATATGATTTCATGCAAGCACTTTAAAAAACTGAAGTTACAATCATGTTACAATAGCACGACAGTAGTGAGGAGTAGGGCTTCGGATCTATAATTGCAAGGTTATGGGTTCAAGTCCCAGGTGGGGCAATGTTGTTGTCTCCTTGAGGAAGGTACTTTGCTCAGATTACATCATTAAAATGCCCTGTGGTGTAAATGGTGTTGAATAATGTGGAACAGATGAAAGTAAAATAATACAAAAAGACAAAATAGTGTTAGTAGTAGTTTAGAAAAGGAAATTAGAATGAAACAGGTTTTTATATGAATAATTTAAGTCATTTATCATTGCACAGGCATGTGTCTTCATGACAACATAAGGTAGAATTATCTTTTTTTAAAATTTGCAATATTTATGTGGCTTTGTGATTCTACTCAAAACAGTTTAAAAGGGGCTTTATGAGATCTAAACTAAATGCATAAAGCTGGCACCTTTTCTTTACATTTGTGACTGTACACATACCAGGCAATAGTTTGCAAGTTTGTTACTACATGAAATGCATGTACTATAAATATTGGCCTTTAAATTGCAGTACTGGTCTGACTTGTCTTACTTCAAAAATCTGTCTTCCTCTTTGTCTGCTCTTATTCACAGATGGAATAAATCCTGTGGAGTGAAAAATACCCTTCTCTTGCCCTGAGCAATTAGTCTGTGTGACACTGTTTGGATTTGACACTTCTTTGTCTCACAGGGCTTCTCCATTTTCACTTGAAATTGGCATTTAGGTGAACAGAAGAGCATACTCTAGCTTTGTAGCGTAGTTGTGAGTTGTAGATGGTATAGGAAGATGAATGCAAGGGTGAGAAGTCAAATTCAAGTCCCAATTCAAGACAATTCTTAAGCTTTACAGACTGATGTTGCAATAAAGCAAGTCAGGAAGAAGTTATTTTTGTGTAAAGGGCATTATTGACTTTAGTATTTTATGTCCATCTACAAGACATTGTGGCCTGAGAAAGTTTATATATAAAGTTTATATCCAGTGTCCTAGAATTTGAATTGAAGACCACCTAATGCAAGTGAAGTGCACGTCAGACAGGATACTGAATATGAAGTGAAGGTGGTGTGGTAACATAACTTAAATATATTTTCATATAGTGCATTCATCCCTATTCAGCCCTAAGAAGTTCAGGTGATGCTAGTTTGAAAAATGAGCTATGTCATTAGATAACTTTGATCACTATTGGTTTGGTGGCTGTAATCTGGCTATTGTTGCCCAAGTGCAATTAGCTATTCCTGGGACCTGTGGGGCATCTGCAATCTGATGTGCTGTTCCTCCAAATGGTGCTAACTTCCCTGGATCTCAGAGTAGAGCATGCAGTGAGTCAAGCAATGATTAACTGAGTGCTCTGATGCTCCTTGTCACCTAAAGCAGTCTTGTTAATTTTTCTGATGATGTCTTGTAACTGTAAGCAGATCAGATTAGTAGATGGCACTTCCATATTGGTTGAGACCCTGAGACAGTTCTGGTTGGGGTCCCAAGTTATACAATTTGTTACTGACAGTGGAATCTATAGATTTCAGTGTAACACTCTAAGATCTCTACATCAGATCATATTCATTTGTCTTTCTGGCTTTAGTTGGAATAAATCTTTTTGAAATCTAAATTGTTTTTTTTATTACTCCCCCCCATGATGTCCTCTGAAGGTGGCTGATGTGCACAAGATCTACCTATGCTCAGTGGCTCTGGGATATATCATGCAGTTCCAGAATCCCAGTTTGCTGAGTTCTCCACTGCTTTGTCTCATGATGGGATCTGTGCTTGCGAGGTACTTGCAGGTAGTTAGAATAATTCTTAGACTTGTAGAGCTCCATGTTAATGCCTTGTTTGCAGCATGCAAAGTGGAAATTTGATTTCTTTTTCAGCAAAACATGAAGAAGGGCCCCCTTGTAACCAGACTGATAAAAATCCTGCTTCATTTCTATTTGGTCTTCACAATTAGCATCATGTTCCATTATGTTGTAAAGGTAAGCATTACATAGCAAGACTTCAGTTTTGTAGATGATATATAGGTTGACAATGAAGGTAGATGGGGTGTTCATGCAACATTTTTGCGAAAACTATGGACTGAATTGTATAATTTGGTTAATGTATTAAGGAAGACATAGGTTCTACAGCAGAACATACTGGAGGGCACTACCATCACGAGATATATGAGATGTGCAGGCCATCAGGGATGCCAATGGTTGTCACATTTTGGCAACATAGTGCCCTCTGGCTTGTCCTGTCATTTCCATAAGATTATGCTTCCAGTAGTCCCATTTCTGTGTGTTCCAAATGCCATTAATCCACAGTGTACAGTTTCCCTGGTGCAGTTGTTTGAACAGGCCAGCTAACTCTGTGAGCCATTTTCTGTTTCTAAATGATCAGTCTAGTACTGGGGTTCTTAACCTGGGGGTCGCAACATAGTCCCAGGGGGGTACGACAATAGGCAACAGAGACAGAATCAACCAAAGGTTAACACACAACCAAAGGTAAACAATTAACGATTGTATACACCTGCACGGTTAAGATGTTTACATTAGCTGGGTGACTTAGTGGTCTACAGAGAAGAAAAGAAACCCACAGACCTGGCTACCTCTCCCAGCCTGCTCTTCTGTGTGCCTGGCAAGGGCGCTACATTAATGCCTATCAGTGGGCCATGATTGCATTTATACTTCTAGCACTTTTTTCTTTTCCGCTAGGTAGTCGTGATTAGCCTAGCAATGGAGTGTATTTTAATAGGTAGCACTTAAAGATTGAGAGCTAAAGATAATGTGGAGAAACACACAGCAGAAAACTCCTAAAAAAGGAAGAAAATGAGAAAGAATAGCGAAAAGTACCTAGTACGGATAGTACGGAGAGGACGCACGACTGGTATGTGTGGTTTGTGACGAAGCGTTGGCTAAGGAAAGCCTCAAGCCCTCCAAACTGCTACACCACTCTTGCAGACCAGACACTTGACCTTGCAGTCTAAACCTGTTGAGTTTTTTTAACCAAAGCTACAGGAGCTAAGAGGCCAACAATCTACCCTCCGTAAAGCCACCACTGTGAACCAGGAGGCACTTATGGCGTCTTTTGTCATAGCTAACTGGATTGCCAAAACTGGGAAGCCACACACATTTGGTGAGACTTTTTTCTTACTGTGCGCTAAGGAAACGATTTCAATCATGAGTGGGGAAAAGTGCTGCAGAGCAGCTAGCATTGATACAGGTGTCAAATGATCCTGTGTCTAACTGCATTGGGCATGTGGCAAGAGACATGTGGCAAGGTGATTGCTAAGATAAAGTCTAGTCTGTATTTTTCTTTACAACTTGACTAGACCACAAAGAGGAGGAAATTAATGATTAATGATTTTTTGTTCTGTCGTCCACTTTCCGAGCATGCCACTGGCGATCAACTTTTTGTTTTGCTGGACAAGTGTACATGAGGATGAAATTGACTGGAACAAGTGTGTGTAAATCTGCTCAGTCGGTGAACGAGCTATGACTGGCAAACACAGTGGGATAGTCACGAAAGTACAGGCCATTGCTCTGTTTACTTTGTGGATGCGTTGTATGATTCATAGCCAAGCCCATGTGGAAAATGCCCCCCGAACTCAAACAAGTAATGGATGAAGCTGTTCATACTTTAAGTTCAATCAAAGACAGTGCAACAAGCGCACGACTTTTACAGATTATTCCATTATTTTGTATCAATATACAGTCCCATAGTCCCGCCCCCTGGCGCTGTTCTCAGCCTGCCTTGCACGCGCATGGCGCTACATTGCCCCCGTCTGAAGAGTCGAGTGTCCTGCCGACCCAAACCGTCCCTCCAGGCTGTACGTGCAAGGCAGGCTCCTCCTGTTAGCCTCTCCGTCCAGACCAGGGACCTCCGTCTGAACCAGGACCCTCCATCTTGGCAGACTCTCTATTTAGGCCAGGGACCTCCATCTGGGCAGGCTCTCCGTCCGTGCCAGGACCCTCCGTTTCGGCTATGGCTCTTTCACCACTCGCTCCGGGCCTCTTGACGCTCCACTCCATTCCGCTCTGACACTAATGTAACGACCACGGGCTTCGGTACCAAATGGAGCAGGCATAGGACTCAGGGAATGGGGTTGAACAACACATTTATTAACTCGAACCGGGGAAAAGTACTCACACAGGGACGGGGATTACAGTGCTGCACCTACACTAACACACACATGAAGGGAAGAGACCGTCTCCCAGCCTCCGTACCACTATATACAGTCCAGTCGTCCCACCCCCAGGCGCTGTTCTCAGCCCGCCTTGCGTGCGCTTGGCTAAAGCACACTCCGTGGCGCTACAATATTATTATTATTATTGTTATTATTAAGTGAAGTTGGCTTATAGTTTATTTAACGTGACGATTTTTAAATCTGTATATGTGGAGGGGGTCGCAAAATTGTTTTAACCCCAAAAAAGTATCTCACTCTCAAAAAGGTTAAGAACCCCTGGTCTAGTAGACTCGGAGATTGTGGTAAACAGGGTTCTACTGTTCTTATATGCTATTAGTAGGTGATGCTTCTGGGTTCCTTCTTTCTGCTTTGACGGTGTGAAAGTTTTACTCAGTGGGACAGAAGAATTCTTATGCAATGCCTGTAAAACTATGAATGAAGTGAGTTGCAGACTGCAAATGGAGTTCTAGCTTGATATGTGCATATATGTTTTAAACAATTGGCTGGGTTTACTACCATAGAGCAAGAACACTAGTATTTTTTTAACCATTAGCATATGTATTCTGTACTGTTTTATCCTATATTTTAGATTTGTAGTCAAAGTTGTTTTATTTTTATAATTTTAGAGAATTATTCCTGTCAATGAAAGTGACCATATATTCAGATTTCTTGAAGTGAAATTTGGATTAAACACCACAACGTAAGTTTTGTTTTTAAAAATAATTAAGAACTAATATTTAATATGTTAAGTAAGTTAACTATTTTTCCTACTTCATTTAGTTCCCAATCAAGAATACTAAAGAAATTGGTGTCAGAAATTAAGAAAAGTAAAATAGTTGCTAAACCTTAAAGGAATTTTTGACATTTTTCTTTTGCATACAATATTACGAGTATGAGCTAGCTCAGTGGATTGAAGGTTGTATATTTGTGTATGTTTTTACATTCTGACACTTGATTTTGGATTATTCATAAATAAAAGTAATATAAATTATTCTGAAACCTGCAAGCCTTTTTTCTGAGAGATACTAATGTTTTTAATGTCTGAATCATCCAGAAGGAGGAAGAGTACTCCAAAACATGGAATCTTAAATCTCCCATCATTAGAAGTTTCTTTATACTTCTCATTACATTAACTGTGACTTTGATATTTACTTTCTTCTCCTTTAGAGACTTCATTACCAACATGCTGCTGTGTCAGGAGGCTTTCCAGAAACCCACTCAGGACTTCTTCCTCAGACTCACCCAGGCCTCGGTGCTTCCCTTTTACATACTTGTGCTGCTGGTCTGTCTTCTGTCTGCTGTGCAGGTGATCTACAAGAGATTAAGGTATGGTTTGGCATATTTAGACAAATAGTAGGTCACAAATTCAAAGTATGACTTGTGAAGTTTTAAAATTAGGCATTACTGTCATTTAATTTTACTGTACTGAAAAAAGGAAATCTGAAAATAAAAGATGAGAGTTTTGTCTAGGGAACTCCTGTCTTTGGTGACAGCACATGTGCTTCAATAGAAAAGAAAAGGGATTTTTCAGTGGTATATTGTGTCCTTTGACTTTTGTTTTTTACAGACCAATCACTTTAAATGATCAGATTGAAAAGACCTTTTTTATAAACAATTTCACATTTAATCAAAATATTCTGGCGTTAGATATTAGCTTTAAATCTGTTAAATCTTCTGAGTTTCAGAACACAATGCATTTATGCGTATAATGACTACTGGTGTTGCTTTAGCAGTTTGATTCATATATAATTCACAGTGCTAATTACATACATGGAACTCAAGATAGTTTCTTGTGTGTCAATAGTTGTCAATCTACTAGAACGTCTGTATACAAGCATAGGAGAGCCACACTTCATTTGTATATTTTTATTTATTGTTATTTGTCTGCTAAGTAATGAAATTTGACAAATTGAGAATTAACAGATCAGAGATGTGTTTGCTGGCAACACAAGTGTCCTAGCAAAATCAGGGTGTTTCTAGGACAAAGCACTAAGGTCAGAAAACAGTTATAAATAACAAATTGAGTAATTTGTCATCATTTTGCCCTTCTAATAGTTCACCTGGAGTTGATGTTTTAGATTACTGTGGTACTGCTATTGGTGCTTTGTTTTCTTCTGTAATAAGACTGAGCTAAATGACTGTACAACTTGACTACGGCAGTGGGGAGCCAATGAAAACCAACCTAAAACTGGAAGATGGGAGAGTAGGAGAGCAACCAGAGGTCATCTACCATGTGTTCCATACCCTTCTCTTTGGTGCACTGGCTATGGTGTTTGAGGGGTAGGTTAAACTTGCTGCTACTAAAACTTAAAGAAAGAGATACTATTGTACAAAAAAACGGTCCACTTCTGTGCGATTTCTAAAATAATAAATCTCCTCTTTGGCCACTAGGGGGAAGCAGATACTTGTTGAAAACAATGATAGCTTTCAGTAGCACAGGTGTAATTAAACTGTATTTTGAAGATCTTAAAATAACAGATCTTAAGCACCATTTATTGTCTGCTTTATTAAGCTTGTATACTTTGCCTGCAATTAAAGGTTATTATATTGTAATCTAGTAGCATATTTCCTCTGGTTACACTATATTTTTTAATTGAGTAATGTATTGCATCCCTACTGTCCTGCAAAAACCACACTGCATAGACAATTTTATAGTTAAGTATAAGGCAGTAATATGCCATTATATAGAATATTACTGTAACCAACACTTTCAAGGAAGTCAGAACATTGATGATTAGCTCTTTGATGACAATTATGTTAATCTTCTGCCTATATAGTGCAGTAGCTGGTTGAAATCCTGCAGCAGATACTTGATTTCTCAACACCCAGTTTTGTTTTAGCTTTGTGTTGTGTACACAAAGATAACAAGTAGGCTTTGTGGTTTTAGTTGTCTAACTTGTAACTTGTAAAACCTGTTGCACTAATTTGCAAAACAGGGAGACATTCCTTGCTTTTTATATGTTTATGACCTGGTACTGTAGGTACAGTATGGTGCTCATTAAATTCAGGAAGCTGAAATATTTTTCAAAATGTGTTCAATGCACATTTACTTAGAATTATGACTTTCCCTTAATGTTGCCATCTTCAGGATGAAGTACCTGTGGACCCCCTACATATGCATGTTCACGGCATTCGGAGTGTGTTCACCTGAGCTCTGGGTGACCGTATTCCGGTGGTTGAAGCTGAAGTCAGTTCATCCAGTTGTACTGGTGAGTGAAGCTTAAAGGGTCTGTTGGATTTAATGCTCAGATGAAATCACAACTGCAACAGACCAGCCACTCCCAATAATAACAACAACAACAATAATAATAATAATAATAACAACAAGCATGAAATGTGTCATGCTGTAGTATGACTTTGACTTTACCTGCCTAACATGTTCTTAGGCATGAACTTGCTGTCCCTTGTAATTTATTTCAAAAAAAGAAAGAACAAACTTTTCATGTTTATTTTGGTTTCCTTCCATTATTTACATTGTATAATTAGCATTAAGACAAAATATTAATTATTTTAATGCATATGTAAACCTAAAAAAACATTACACTCACAGCAGACTATACGATAAGCTTTTTTATAAATAAATGAGTAATCTTACATTGTGCCACTGCACCAAGGTGTTATTCTTCATCTATGGTGTAATAAGGTGTTTATGCACTGCTACCCATCCATGGTATTCTTCTCTTCTGTGATTGATGAAACTGCCTGCTCATGCCTTAGCAGTTAACTGATTCAGAGTTGCTTATCTGTTTTGCTTTGCATCTCAAATCAATGTAAAGAAATTAAGGTTGAGGCATATGTGCTTTTGTCCACAGTTGTCCCCTAGTTAATGAAGTCTTTCCCTCAGACTTCCATCCCAATTAGCCACTGTTTCTCATAAAAGATCAGCGAGTTCAGCAGTCTTCACTGAAGGTCCTGACAAAAAAGTCCCAACAACCACCCCTCTCTTAACTCACTGAGATTCCTTTTTCTAGCCATGATAGCCAAAATAATGGGCAAGTGGGCCTGCCCAGCATTATACATAACTCTCAGCATGATGGGATGTTAATTGCTTCATTAACGCAGGAGCCACAACTGTGTGGAAGCACCTGCTTTCAGTATACTATATACAAAATTTAAATACATTATGATTCTATATTGTAAAACAATAAAATATGACAAAGTCCAAGGGGTGGTAAATACTTTTGATAGCTACTGTATCTTATAAAAAACAAAAGAGGCACTATTAATGATATGTGAGATGCCCCCCAGAATTATTGGCACCCTTGGTAAAGATGAGCAAAAAAGGCTATGAAAAATTGTCTTTATTGTTTATCAACTTTATCTTACACTGCAAATAGGGGAGAAATCTGACCTTTCAGTGAGGTAAAATTATTCAAAGGAAAAAAATATCCTTATAATTTTTTTTCTCAAAAACACAGGTGTCACAATTATTGGCACCCCTAGAAATTCCTATGAACAAAATCTAATGACATCAATGAACTCCTTTTTCACTGGGGTATCAATATGAGGTAGCATGCAGGCCAAACACCCTTAGTCATCCATCAACATGGGGAAGACCAGAGAATACAAAAATGAAATGAGATAAAAGGTTGTTGACTTTCATAAATCAGGCAGTTTCTATAAAAAAAATAGCTTCACACCTGAAAATACCCATCTCCACTATTAAGACAATAATTAAGAAGTTTTAAACAACTGGAGCTGTGTGAATCTGCCTGGAAGAGGACGCATGTGTATTTTGCCCCAACGCACAGTGAGGAAGATGGTTTGAGAGGCAAAACTTTCTCCAGGGATCACAGTTGGACAATTGCTGTTGTCAAACCACAAACGTGAGCACCTGGAGTTCGCTAAACATCACTGGAACTTTGATTGGGACTGGATTCTATGGTCAGATGAGACAAAAATATATAGCTTTTTTGCAACAAACATCAAAGGTGGATTTGGCATAAAAAGAGTCAAGGTCATACAGAAAAGAACCTTATCCCCACTGTGAAGTATGGTGGTGGGTCTGTGATTTTGTGGGGCTGTTTATCTTCCAAAGGCCTGGGAATCTTGTGAGGGTACATGGCATCATGGACTTCATCAAATACCAGGAGATTTTAGATCAAAATCTGTCTGCCACTGCCAGGAGGCTAAGACTGGGTTGTGGTTAGATCTTCCAGCAAGACAGTGATCCAAAGCATACAACCAAATCCACACAGAAATGGTTCACTGACCACAGAATCAAGCTTTTGCAGTGGCCATCCCAGTCCCCTGACCTAAACCCCATCGAAAACCTATGGGGTGAGCTGAAGAGGAGAGTCCACAAGCAAGGACCAAGGACTCTGCAGGATCTAGGTAGATTTTGTATGGAGGAATGGTCTCAGATCTCTATATATGTGTTCTCCCACCTCATCCAGCATTATAAGAGAAGACTCAGTGCTGTTATCTTGGCAAAGGGAGGGTGCACAAAGTACTAAATGCAGGGATGCCAATAATTGTCACGTGTTTTTGAGAAAAATGTTTATTTTTTTTATAAGGATTTTTTTCTTTGGAATAATTTAACCTCACTGAAAGGTTAGATCTCTCATATTTTCAGTGTAAGATCAAGCTGATAAACAACACAAATATTTTTCATAGTCTTTTTTCGTCATCTTTACCAAGGGTGCCAATACTTCTGGATGGCACTGTACAGTGAGAATGATGACCATAAGGTTTTTAGAATTAACCAGTAAATTGTAAATATACTGCTAGCTATTTCTAGTCAACAATTCTTCCAAGCACGTTAAGAATCCAGAGAATGCCAGCCTAGAAATATACTGTAATGCTCTGTATAGCAGAACTAATCACGTTAAATCGTCTTAATTACTTCATGCCCTACTAAGTGTCGCACAGTCTTCCACACTGGAAGAAGGCTACACAGCTGAAACATTGTGTGGCTTTTCTTCTCTTTTCAGCATGGAATAAACCTTTACCTGTTCTTTTGCAGCCTATGCATGCTGACGCAGCTACCTACTTGAACTACTTATACCAACATTGTTACTTATGTAAAAAAGATCGATAAAGACTTTGTCAACACTCACTTTAGTACCTCCTTAAAGTATCATGTAATTTTTCTCTGTTCTAATTGTTAATTATTTTACCAATATGAGCAGGTGCCCAGTGCCATTTTACAACACAAGAAATGTATTCAATCTTAAGCTTGTTTTAATTTTTTTAATGTAATTTTAAATGGTGTACAGCTCCCTGCTTTGGAGTGAACTAAAATTTCCTTTCTCCACAAAGCAGCCCCTGCCAAATGCACTATAATATTCTAACACTGAAATTCACCTCTAGCTTAAAACTATATAGTGTTATCACCTAATAGCACTCTCAGGGTTGTTTTTTTAATTTTTAAAATGATTATTTGTTCTGATTTATTGAACAGTCTCATGTTATTGTGCACACATTTGTTGTGGCACTGTTTTTTCCTTGTGGGTGTTTAAGCCACAGCGCGGCCTCAGGGTTTCATTAATAAATTTGGGTCATAAAGCATCACTACTGCAGAGGAATTTAGGCTCTTATGAAAATGAACTTGCCAACTAAGAAGCAACAACTCGGTCACATTTATCTGATCATATATACAAAAACAACAGCCATTTGTATTTTAGTGCTCTGCTGGCACTCCAGAGTCAAATGGCAAAAGAAGATTCTCTGCTTTTCAGTGCATTTTAAATATTAGTCTGTAATCTACAGATGGGATTGTTGAGCACCATCAGTCAGCAAAGTTAGGAATCTGACTTTGGCATCTAACTGGGCTTTTAGCATCTCTCCTGTATTAATTGGGAAACACAGATTCATAGCAGTATGAATTGTGATGTTTTCCTGATTGTGAGCAACCATCACCTTTTGACATTTTACCACCTATTACTGAGTTCCTGGCACAAATGACACAATGTTTTTCTTCTGTTTTCTCGTTTGATTGTCTTCCCAAAGTCCCAGGTTGAACCCTGTGTGCAATTTGATTGCTGTCATGAGTTAGATTGCTGTGCCTTGTAGTTTGTGACAGCCAGCTTTAATGCTCAGCCATCACAAACACACAGGGTGCTGTTTCCATCAGGGCTGTGAGTTGTTTACCACTTTGTCCCTAGCTTTTGAGGCCACTTCTCATAGACCATCAATAATTTGTGCTGACTTCAACACAGAAATGCCTTTCCACTCAAACTTCAATAAGCCATCTACAGTCAAAGCAAAGGGAAGTGGGTCACTGCAGCCTTTATTCAAAATGCACCCAAAACCTGTAATGTTATTTATAGCCTTAATAGGAGATCTGATGTATTCATTTCCTGTGAGCCATGTCAATAGCAACAGTTCAGAGTTTCATTTTACAGACATATCAGAGATGATGAAGCATTACCCTCTTAATTAATAGAAATAAATTTCTCTCCCACATATTACACTAGATAACGTACAGTATATTGATCCTGTGAAGCGCAACAGCAGCTAAGTAGGTTAAAATGCTTATATTGTTTGTTTTTTTAACAATGGGGAATGACTAATGAGAAATAAGTTATATTTTGTAAAAATCTTGAATTGCCACTTTTTTTTTTTTACACATCAAATTTATACAGAAGCCAATTGTGTGTGTTTTTACATCTCAACTCATGGCTATGAACACTGACCACACACAGGGGAAGATGAGAAAGTGTACGTAGACTTCTCTGCCAGTGCCACCTCAACCAGGTGTGCACCACTGTTTGGGGAATCCTCATCACACTCAGGCAGGGGTCTTCAGCATAGCTGGCTAATGACATGATCCAGGCTCAAACCTGCGATCACAGAGCTTAATTTTTGCTCAGTTGGGAACTTTTACCAATTTAGCTTTTCGGGTGAGCTCATAAGTAAGTGATTTTAATGAAAAGCTAGGTTTAAATGTGGAACCACAACAAATGTGTCATCTCTTCCTTGTGTCTTCACTAAAGCACACTGTTGATCAGAGTTGTCAATGGGTCAATCATTAAAATGATCACTTGATCACTTTATGTAATCTTTAGTTTACTAGTTGATTAAAGTAGCAGTTAGAAATCCTAAAATGGGAAGAAATTGAAGGGTCACTGTTGCACTTTTGTAAAGCTATTACAGAGTTTTGAAATGTACCAGAAGTTCCTTGAGGTGACAATTACAAATTCTTAACATTTGCCCCTTTCTTATTTTTTAAACAGGCTCTTATATTGAGTACTGCAGTCCCAACAATAATTGGATTCAGTTTGTGGAGGGAGGTAAGTTCTACCACAAAACCTCAGCAGGTAAATGAAATTGCCATGGACCACAGTGTTCCTAACAGATTGCAAGGGGTATTTTGCTATTGCTATTATGCTTTTGCTATTAATATTTGTGCAAAACTACTGATATAATGTAAATTTTATATCAAGTATAATTATACTTTTGAGTTCATTAGTACACTCATACCCTGGTATACGAACCTTATTCGTTCCTGAAAATATTTTTGGAAGGCTGATGATTGTAAAATTCCATTATTTCTTATGGGGAAAATTCCACCCCGTTCTGAACTAAAGACAAGTTCACTCAAAATCCACCCTAAACATATAATACGATATAGACCATTATAGCAAGCTTAGTGCACAATGCAGTTCTACTCAATTAAGCCAACTATAGCTGTAAAATAATTATATCATATTTACATATTTCATTCTTTTGTAATAATAATCATTATAATAAAAATTGCTTACACTCCACTTAAAGCGCTTTACAGGTAATGGGGACTCCCCTCCGCTTTTCTGTACACTCCACTCAAAGCGCTTTACAGGTAATGGGGACTCCCCTCCACCACCACCAATGTGCAGCATCCACCTGGATGATGTGACGGCAGCCATAGTGCGCCAGAACGCTCACCACACATCAGCTATTTTGTAATATATCGCTATCCAAGCTATTAGCTAGAACAATGTGCATACTGTTGTGGACTATTACTCTAAAGAATTTGGTTCTCTTCCTTAAGACCCCATAATGAACAGCAACTACAAAACAAACACAAAAAACACTTTGAAAATGTGAGCACAAGCTTTTGTTGTGATCGTAAACAAAGCACTGCTGCCTCACACTGTCCAAAACCACAATGCCTATCGCCCACACAGAAGCAAGCAGCTGTTCAGTGGCACTGAATTCAGATGTTCGCAGAAGATTCTCGGCCAAAATTGGTCACTTTCGAACTTCAAAATTCGAATTAGCACAATTTTGTTCTTATAACGAATTCTTCAGGTTCAGATTACCGAAAATATATACAGGGGTATGAGTGTATTTTTGAAAGAGTAAAATGATTCCTAACTCGCATACAGTGTAGTAATAATGTCAAATATCCATGACTGTAATGTGTTTAAGCACCAGCCTTTTCCTAAATTCAATTTTCATGTAATTCAAGGTTTTAAGCAAATGTAATGTTTAAATTTAAAAGATGATTTAAAGCTATAAGCTTAATCTTCTGAGAAAATAAGATGGTAAACTACATTTCTCTTTGTGCTCTGAAAGTAGTCTTAGTCATCACACCTTGCTTGTCATCATGTTTGTTGGAAAATAAACAGTAAAACCCACCTTAATTGCCAACTAAGTCACATCATGAAGTCCTGGCAGTATTCAATTTTGGTTTGTTTGGAGTACTGTGCCAGAGTCAATAGTATTTTAAAAGAATGTGAATAGCACCCACAGGAACCACTGTGTTATTAGTCAGATGTGACTGATTCCCAAACACCACAGAGGCTGGGTGGGAAACTCAACACACCGCATTGACCCCTGTGACCTGCTCAGTGCCATCATTGAAAGTTGCAGACTTTGTGATGGGGGCTTTTCTACCATTTCAAAGATTAGATACTTAAGCAGTGGTTTTTGCCAAACATTTCTTTATCCTGCTGCAACTCAGATATGCTAGCACAGTTCTGTTTAACAATAGCAGTGTGCAATTGGAGTGATTGCAATGGTTTTAAGTGAATATTCTAAGCTACAACGTAAAGTTTTTGTATTATTGTTTGCAAAAAAGACCCCTGGCATTTTTTAGACCAAGGACTTTTTAAAATATCTTCAGATTGTACTTCTTTTAGTTAAATTTTTGTGTTGAATTTCCTGTGATTGAATCAGTTAATCACTGTAATTTGTAGAGATAATGTTTGTTCTGTTGTCTGCAGAGGAAATTAAATAAAATTTATGATGCCATATTGTTAAGACAAATATACATCCCAAAAAAATAAACTAAAATTCCAATTTAGTTGACTTGTATCTAGGTTTTGGCAAGCATTAATTAAAGCACGCTTTTTTCTGTATTGAACACCAAAATCAAATATTTGATTGCGGCCATTCTCCAAAGTTCTAGGCATAGAAAAATTAATGTTATACATGCTCATCTTTCATTTAGCAGGACAATTTTTCCAAGTTTTTTTAGACATTAGCGTGAAAGTTGCAGCTAGAGCATAAATTAGTTGCCAGCCCTTATTTTCTATATTTAATGTTGTCCGTCCCTTTTAAGGTGTTAGCGTACTGTTGAGGTTGTACAAATATATTGCCTAAAGCACAGGGCTATTTTTGTTTTTTACAGAGGATAAATTGCAGTGCTTAATTTGATTACTTTAATTAGTTTTTAACCCATAGAGCACAGTAGTTACGAGATGTTTTTAAATCTTTTCACTCTGTATTAAATGTGTCAAATAAGTCATTTCAGCCCCTTTAAAAAAAGAGAGTGAGGGGCTTGAGAGAAGCTTTAGAAATCAAATAATACTTCATGCGTGCAGTTTGTTTTTGTCAGAATTGCCTTTCGCAGGCCAAATTTTGACAAGAACAACGTGAGCTCACATTAATGCTTCTGGAATTACTCATAGCCAAAGTGGCAGTTCTTTCGGTCCAGTGCAACTGACAGAGCTGTACATTTCAAACCTATTATCTTTCCTTTAATATAAACACAAAAATATTACGAGAGGACTTAAAAAGAACAACACAAAAAATTAAAAATGTAGATTATTTTGTCTTTACCACCAGATTATTTTTCTATTTTATTGAGGCACAGCAGCAGTAGTCATTACCCTGATGAAATAGAAACAAACATACAGCAGAAATATTTATGGATTCATTCCTACAATATGTCAACTAGGATATTAATATCTGGAAGACACTTTATGCCCCATTATAAGACACTGAATTTATGAATTGCCATATGTAGCCAATTACTTCATGCGTCTTTAAGGTTATGTATCTGTAGGAACATTGCGTAATGACAAAGATTGCACAATTGTTTCCTAATGTCTTGGCTTTAACAGTTTTAAATGGCTGTTCTTTAAATGTTTTGGAAACAGTTCTTGATTCTTTGTTCTTAATCTACGCATTGTGCTCCAAGACTGTTTGGGATTAACAGAAGTGGTATCTTGAAAACACATGGTGTTGATGGGATTTCACATTTTTTCTGTGTAAATATATTTCCTCCATGTGTCCGTACTGAATCCACCACTGAAGTGCAGCACGCTCTTGGTTGACATGACTACCATTATGCAGCAGCATCCCCACTAAGAAGCAGATCAGGTGGAAAATGATACATATAAATATTGGGGAAAAAATTGCAACACCTGGGTAAATGGTGGACACCAAGTATATTGAAAGCAAGGGTTCCATACAGTTGTTCTTCAACTATTAATAAAAAAAATAACATCCCATCATGCTTAGGGTTATGCATAAATATGCTGGATAGGCCTGGTGGTCTATAATTCTATATAAAATGTCAGCAAGAGTTCAGTGACTTTGATAGGTGGGTGGTTGTTGGGATTCATTTGGCTGAAGCTTCAGTGAACCAGATAGCTTGTTGATGTTTCAGAAGCAATGCAAATGTGATTGTGGAAATCCAAGGGAAAGATATCATCAGCAAAGGCCAACAGTGGGCAAAAGTGCACAGGCCATGATCATAATATTTATCTATTTATTCAAAGTGCTAGCCAAACCTGGTGAGCAAGTGCAGATCAATAGATCCCAACAGCAAAGGGTTCTGGTGGTTCTTGTAATATTGTGGAGCCATTTTCCTGGTATGGTTTGAGTGCACTAATTCCCATAAAAGGCAGGGTCAACAGGGGGAAGAATGACAAAGCCCCCATCCACAGACCACATGTGGTCATCCATTGGCTTGATGACCATAGACCTGGTGTTATCCATATGTCACAGCCTTCCCAGTCACCAGATCCGATGTTCTAGAACAACATTGAGACAGCATTTTCCATCTTCATCAACCAGACATGAGATCATTGACCTTCTCATGGAAGAATGGTGCTGCACCCTTCCTGCAGAATTCCAGAAGCTAGTAGGCACAACACACTACTAACCGACTTTACATTGGTTTTTCAGTTGTCCATTATCTGTACTTCACTATTTAAGGAGGAAATTAAGATAGGCCAGACTAAGCAAACACAAAGCACAATTTAACCTCAGGAAAACAATCGTACTCTGGGTGGTGCCATTGGATTTGTAATGATCAAGTAGGCAGGACCTTGGTTTATCATCTCCCCTAAAGGACTGCACCAAAAAGTTACTATCCCAGTTCACCATACAGGGGTATTAGTTTTATAAATCTCTTCCAGAGGAAAGATTGCCGCCTACATTACTTACAACAAAGAGGTTTTCCCAAGAGGTCTCTCATTCTATGATTGATTAGACCCAGCTTTGCTTACCTTCTGAGGTGTTAATGCTGCTGCTTAAAAATTATGCAGATTAATATTAAAGCATGCCCATGTTGTGTTGTGTTGTAATTTGCTGAGTTGATGCATCATGTACCAAATGAAGCAGTGACCTTTATCAGTTTTAGGATTAATTATAATTGGCAGTGATTTGATTTTTGGAAACTCTAAGCTTGGTAATTGTGCAGCTTAGAGAATATATGGAGTTACTGATCTGAAAGGCTGAACAATGAATGACTTGTTGCATAAAACAGAAATTTTAATACAGCATCAGATATGATAAATCGGAGTGTCTTGTTTTAATCACTACATAAGAAAGTTACAAATAAGGCTTTTCCACTTGTTTGATTTGGTTGGTTGTAGCGTATTGATCAGTGGATCCCTTCCATCATTTTCTTGAAGGTTCTAAAGGAGGCAGTTTTAACATCATGGCTTTCCAGCTTTTTTTAGATAACCTAGATCTTCCCTGTAAACAAGCTGGTATGAGCTTAATGATATCAAAGTTTAGCTAAGTTTGCAGTCCAAATCTTGTTTACACTGTTATTGTAAGAAGGGCCAGTAGAGGACGCTCACCCTATTGTCTGTGTGGGTCCAAATGCCCCAGTATAGTGACAAGGACACTATACTGTAAAAAGGTGACGTCCTTCGGATGAGATGTAAAACCAAGGTCTTGATTCTCTGTGGTCTTTAAAAATCCTAGGGTGCTTCTCGAAAAGAGTAGGGGTGTTACCCTGGCATCCTGGCCAAATTCCCCATTGGCCTTTAAGAGTCATGACCTCCTAATAATTCCTATCTATAAATTGGCTTCATCATTCTGTTCTCCTCCCCACTGTTAGCTGATACTGTATGTGGTGAGAGTACTGTGCGCACTATGGCTGCTGTCGCATCATCCTGGTGGATGATGGTGGTTTCCATTACCTGTAAAGTGCCTTGAGTGGTGTGTCCAGAAAAGCTCTGTATTAGTGTAAGGAATTATTATTATTATTCAAGAAATCCTTAAAAAAGTATTGTTTTATCTGCAGAGACAGGTAAGCACAGAACTGAACACAGGCAGGTACACACAGGCTGTTCCCGATGATTTACTCTGGTTAATTAACTTCATGGTAAATCATTAGACTTGATTCACGGAGTATATACAGTATAGAACACAGAAGAAAGGAAGAGAAAAGAACAGGGGAAGGGAGACGGGGAGAGAGAGAGACAGAGGAGAAGACCAAGAGTAGTGATATCACTTTATTGGCCATATATATATAATTTCTTGTATTATGAATTTGTCTTTTTGCATACCCCAACTTGCTCTCCATGAGACACACAGACAGGGAGAGAAGCTTGAGGTCAGAGTGTAGGGTCAGCCATTTATACAGCACCCCTGGACCAGTTGGGGTTAAGGGCCTTGCTCAGGGGCCCAACAGAATAGGATTCCTCTGCCGGCCACGGGATACGAACCAGCAACATTCCAGCCACAGGCACAGATCCTTAGCCACAGAGCCACCGCACCGCCCCAGTAGGAACATCACTATTCCTCTTCTTCCTTAAAGCTCTTGTCATACAAGAGGACATTGTTCTGATCAGTCCTGGACACCAGATTCTGACCAGTTAATCTAAATATTATTACAGAGAGCTTGCTGTCTTTATATTTTTGACATTGTTACATCTTCAGACTAAAAATTCTCTCTCCTGGTTTGATGATGCATATTTAGAACATGGAGATCCAGCTGTGGTCTCATTCTCGTTTCACTTTAGTATAAAATAGTCCATTGGATTGTCTTTCAGGTTTTGAAAACTTGTTTCATCTTCCATAAAAATTCTCTCTATGTAAGACATCTTAATCTATTTGTATATTGCACTCCTAAATTGCATTAATTTTAAACCTAGAGTCTTTATTAAACTCTAAGGCAGTAATATCCTTTTTGTAGTCCAGTGGAAACAATTCTTCGCAAGTGAGGTTTGACTTTTGTTTTGTACAGTATAATCTTAACATTTGAATTGTACGCTGCCACTATGCAGCATTTTGCAGGAAACAAACAATTATAAGACACCTTAAACTCCTAAATTTCTGTCATGGGCTGTTTAATATAGTTCTGGGCTGCCTGTCTAGTATTTATCTTATTTTTATTATAATCAGTTAGGAACCTGAAAATAAATTCCTGCTTTTATTCCTATTGAGTTTTGATTTCCCATTTCTTGTTCACCTTCAGGTTAATACTGTAGCTCTCCAAATAATTGACATAATGTCCGTGTCCCTTCTCCCCCACTTCAGTATTTTCCCAGGGTGATAACGGAGCTCTCGGAGCTGCAGGAGGTCTATGATCCAGACACGGTGGAGCTGATGAACTGGATAAGGTAAGCAAGCTTGTCATCTTTGTTGGTTTTTTTTATTTTTAGGCAAAAAAAGGCAAAAGCTGGCTTACTTGAGCCAAGACAAATGATCAAGTCTAGAACCCTTCGATATATTGCAGTTAATATATCCACGCATGATGGCTGTCACTGTCCCTTATTATAAAGGAAGAGTTCTCTAAATAGTAAGTAGGTGTGTTGATTACTTATTTTTTTAGATCAGTTTCATTGTGGAGGCTTGATTGACATATTCAGGCAATGAGTCAAAATCCAAGTTAATCTGTTTTTTTTTTCTGATTCCCAGAAGCTCTTCACAGGGCCCTAGTTATGTCAAAAAAGAAAGGGCTTCTAGTACTGCAGTGTGGGCTAACATGAAGAGAACTGGAAGGAGGGAGAATTGCCTTCTATGACAAATAAAATCATTTTTCAGTGTGCCATTAATCTTTTATACTGCTCTTAAATGGTTTAAATGAGGCTTTTTGCTAAGATTACCTACCGGTCCCACTGGTACCTTATTTTCAGAACAGAACAAGTAAGTCAAGTGTTTTACCCCTAGGTCTTAACAGCAGTGAATTTCCAAGATCACATCACACCAGTGACCAGTGCCCACCTTTTTATTGTTTTTTTTTATCAGTGAGTGTTTTTCCAAGAATTTACTTTCCTCGCTGCTTTCAAGATGTTAAGAAAGTTTACTTCTGGGAAAAGAAAATCTTGAATTTTTTAAGAAGAGCCTGAAATATCTTTTTTTTTGCTGTCACAAATTTTGGTTCAGATTAATATTATTGTATTCCTTTTTTTCTGCCTCCATCATAAGTCATGGATGGAGCAGATTCTCTTGGGAGTCTCAGAGTTTTTAGTTAAACCTTGGAGGTATTAACAGTGCACATCAATTGGAGTATCTTTCCTTTCCTCAGAGCTAACTTGTCTCCGAACAACTTTGGTTTTTTTGTGCATGTTCTCATGTTAACATTTCTTTCAAGGACATCAAAGTCAGTCAGCTTTCCCACCTCCAGACTTTTTTTTAATCCCATGTTTTTATTTTTCAGTGGAATTTTATAGTTTCATGGCATAAACCTGCCGTGAAATCCTCTAGAGGATGATGGGTATATTACTGCTCCCTCCAACAAGATATTTTCTGTTGTTTTTTAAATGTTTCTGCTATTGTTTTTATCTTTTATCAGTGATGTGAAAGTGTGACAATAGACACAAAGTATACTGCATTAAGTGACTTAGAGGCATATACTTAGAAGGTACATTTGTTTACCAAATAGTTAAACACATTCAGACTGCAGAGCTGAACGATGCTCATTGTTTGTTTGTTTGTTTTTTTCATTAAAGCACTACTTTTAATACAAACGTGACCTAGTAATTTGTCCCTCCTTACAAAATATTTACTTACACCATACTTCAAAATTTGTCAAATTTAATAAGGTAGCAAAAACATATAGCTGAAATTGGATGCCTCTAAACCTCAGACTATTAATCTTTTATATAATTTTATATGTAACTTCAAGTCCCCATTCCTTGTATTTTATAGCTTTGACTGGAATCTCTAGTTTAAAATTGCTTTGAATGTAGAATAATACTTTGCAATGTTTTATTTACCAGATCACTATTTGATTATATAAAAACATGTAACAAGCACAGCTTCATTGCAGTCAACATCTTCATCAGGGCTCCAAATTAGTATTACAGATCAGCACAATATCAAGCCTGTACACACCTGGGCAGTGCCCCCCTTTGAAAAAACCCTAAGAACACTATCATTTGCAAACCTCTTTTATATAATATTTATTGCATCTAAGATCAGCGCAACGCAAAATCTGCTGGGTCTTGTTAAATGTAATTTCATTGTGCATCAAGTCCCCAATACGACCTAGAAGTGATTCAATTACATGCTGTCATTATTTTGCCATATTTCTATTTAAATTATTAAGAATGTTTTTATCATCTGCATAGGAGCTAGCCAAAGTGCTTAACAGTGTGTAAAAACAGCAGACCCTAAAGTTACTGTACATCAAAAGTATTGACTGAACAAAAAGGTTTTTTACAGTGTAAAATGGGTCTATTTAGCATTTAGATAATCCATGTGTATGTGACCAATGATGGTGTCAGTTCAGCCATCTTTGTTCCGCCATGGTTTTTATTGTTTTCTTCTGTGTTCACGTGAACCTTGTGTAAAGTAGTGAGTACACCCTGAGGGACACAGATGCCCAGTGGAGACTGTCTACCCTCACCCATCCCCCTCTGTTGCTAGGAGACAGGCTCCAGCTGCGACAGTGTTTGCAGGAAGCCCTCAATTAATGGGAGTGGTGAAGCTGTGCTCAGGATGGACAGTGACCAGTTTACCCCTCTACACTGACGTCAATCTGATGAAACGCAATGAAAATGTAAGTGTCTCACTGCTGCTTAGTACAATCATTAAATGTGTTGCAGATTTTGGGGGGTAGTTGGGAAGAGAGTTATCATTGTCATAGTGAAGTGTGAAATGTGCAAAGTTGAAAATGTATCTAAGTGTTTATACCAGGGGGCTATCAAGATGAGGTTTGAATCACAACTCCCAGTCAACTGCTTTGTAAGATGCCTTTAATAAGCCTGTACAAGCTGTACTGTAATATATATGTTACGACATGGCGAGTATATGGAGAAAGTCAGGTCTTGCTGACAGGCTGAGAAATCCAAATGCTTGATCCCAGTGAAGATCCAGTGAAGGCTCAGAGACTGAGTATGTAGGCAGGCAGAGATAGCTGAACAGGACAGACGATAGCAGACAGGTTGATCCGAGACTGATGGCAAGCGCAGTTATCAGGACTATAAGGCTAGAGGTATGATTATATGCCACTGGTCCTGCACTTGGCTGGACAGATGGAGTGCTGACAGGCAGAGCGGGTTTGAGTCAGAAAAATACTTGAGCTAAAGTCAGGCTGTTTTTATTTGGAAGTGGGCTAGTTGTGCTGTGAGTACTACCCTTGGCAGAAGGTAGCTCAATTACAGAGCACTGGACCATATGCGGATCGGGGTTTAAATGTCCTGGACTAATGGATTTTTCACCTGTTAATTGGAGGCAGGTGGTTGAGATAAGTGGCCCGAGTGAGCCCTCACAGCCCTGGAAGGTGTTTTGAGTCCTTATGTGAATGCAGCCAGTTTCAGTGGAGTCTGATGTTCATAATCTCTGGCTCATATGAGTGTAAAATATGTATGTGTATTTAACACTTGTCTAGTAAGTGGAATTCCAGGAGGCCTAGCTGGAATAAAAGCTTGAGAAACATTTTCTAAATCTAGTGAAAGAGACAATTTTATAACCAGTTAAGTCAGGAACGCGAGACTTGTAGCACAGTAATTTTGTAAGTGGTCAGAAAAATGAGACTGACAAGTCTTCATCGAAACTTCTCACAAGGATGGTCTTGCAGAGTAGGGCAGCCTAGTTGAGTGAAATCTCAATTAAATCTCTTGGTCTTGTGTTTTCCTAATTCTCTTTTAACCAGTAGAGGGAGACATAGCCAGATTTGCTATGGCTGACTGAAGACCCTTTTCTGAAATTCTGACATGTTGGTCATTACTCCTGCATGCACCTCAAGGCTCAGTCTGCTTCACTTTTCACATGGTAACAGGAGAAATTAAACCACCTTCATATTATAACACAGCACATCTATTTTTTTAAATTAATATGACATTTATGTTTTCATTTTTTCTATTTTTCTAATTAGTGGAAGAATAATGGATAATTTTTTTGGGTAGTACAGATTAATTCCTACTGAAAAGTGCAGCTTCCCTGCATCTTATAAAAGCTGTATTGAGAATGATGTGACTGCAGACATTTCCATGGTTACTGATTTGAGGGTTGCTGCCTGTGCTCTACAGAATCCATTCCATTACTGATAGCATTGTGTCAGTTTTCTTTCATTGAAGGTAATTCTGCTACTGCTGTCTCTTTGTGAAAAGATTTGGGTCAGTGTTGGTGACCCAGGACATAAAAAAACACTCGTACCTGTCAGCATATAGATTTTCATATTTTCTTCCAAAACATCTCACTTCAACAGAAGAGGTGCAACACATTATTTCTTTAATAGACTTCAATGTGATTCTCTTTGTTTGGTCCTTCTGCCTTGTTTCATGCAATGTTATGTGCACTCGTTAGATCCATGCACCTTTCTTTTTTTCCTTTTGTGTATTACCTTTCTGTGTAACATGTTACATGCTTAAATTGTTTTGAACTTCCTGACAGAATTTATTTTGTTTATATCAAACATTTATATGCTGAAAATTGCCCAGTTCAAAAACTGCAGATTTGGATGCTTTTTCAGAGAATTAATTGACTTGAAAAAACTTTATGGTACTCTGCTCATGTTTTTAAATTCAGGAAATCTCCTTTTCCTTATGTTAGGTTGTGGTGAAAAACAATCAGGTTGAATCCTTTGTCCCATCCTGCCTCTCTAAATTATTCAGAATTACTCAGATGGGATTTTCTGAACTTGCTACAGATTGCAGTATTATAATTGTACATTGCCTGAGATGTAATGATAAAATGAACTCAGATTGGCCAGATTGGAGTGGATCATTTTGTATCATACACAAGTGGTCCCTCTGCCTGGCAGTGTTTCTGTGTGACCTGCTGGATATGAGTGGCAGCTGTCTCTGTCCTCCAGCTAACGTAAGCCATGTTTTTTAGGTTTCAGAATTACTGAGCCAAACATGGTGGACAGCCTGGCAGACCATGCCTCAGAGTCCAGGGTGGAGTGTCCTTGTCAACACAGGGTTGTAGTAACAGTTGATATTCACATGCAGATTTTTATTCAAAATTGAAATGTAAAGGAGAGAGCAGTTTCTTAATTACTACTTTGAAAAGAGGACACTAATATCAAGGTTTTAGGCTGGCCTGATTATTTGTTAATCTATTGTCCTTATCAGTGGGGAAATTTTCAGCTAAGTCTCTTTTATTTCATATGACTTTGGGGAGGATTTTGCACTAGAACTTAGGTAGCTGGAGCAATTTGTAGAGAAATAATTACAACACCCACACACAGGACATGTGAAGAACATTGTAAGTAAGTCACACTGATCCTGGAGTTCCAGTTCTGAAGATAGTCACATGTGCTTCTCATCCTCTGGGTACTGTAAAAAATAGCCAAGTGTTTAGGACACAATGCTCTTTCTCATACAAAGAGACATCACATTTCATCTGGATGCATAAGCACCTTGTTCACTTTCTTCTTTGAATTGTGGGAAAGTAAACTAATTTATTATCACTTCTAGTACAGTGCATCCTTTTGAAACATGCATGTTTCAACAGTGTGAACAGTGATTTTATTTTTTATTGTGTTAGAAGAACATAAATAGAAGGATAAATAGAAGGAAACTGCTGGTTGATAATGGCAGTCAGTAGCAATGGCTAGGGCAGAGCACCAGTACTTGTGTTTCCAGACTTTATCCTTTACTACAGAATTTACATTTGAGAGCCATATGTTTAGGACAAAGAAAGGTTGTTAGGAAAGTGAAAGCAAATTCAATTCAGTATAAGTTAGTTATATAAACTTGATATTTTTTAAAATTAAATGGTGAAAAATGAACATGCCCTTTCAATGAAAAAATGTCTCACTCAAGCTATCTGTGTTAACAGATGATTTTTAAAATATGATTTACCCCTTCTAAATCTCAGTGTCTCCCTTAACCTTTCTGAGCTTGCAGAGAAGTAGAGAAATGCCTACTTACCTGGCTGCCTACTGACAAAGCTTTCATCTGTTTTTATTAATATCACATCTTGAGCTTTAAAAGTCACAATTGAGTTTTAAAATATCTCTTAATTCACCACACACAAATAGCAATTGTCCTGCTCATCCCCAAAGCTGTTGACTAAGTAAATGCTTGTGATAGAGCTGTTGAATCTGCCATGTCCTGACAATGCAGAGCATGTATCCCAGAATGCACGTGCTCTGTGTGTGATTGAATATTTTAATTGTATGGTGCAGAATACTTTTGACATAACTTTGAAATTTAGAAGTTGCAATGCATTATTAAACATTTTAAAAATCTTCTGTGGTCTTTGCATTTCCAAAAAAATAGAATGTCTTTGATCAGTTTGCTGCAAATACATGTAGTGCCGTTTCTTAGAGAAATGTCATCTCTTGTTATTTTTCCACAGGTTTACCAGGTCTATTCAATGCGCCCAGCTGAGGACATTTATAAGATCCTCACAGCCTACAAAGCTAGCTATGTAATTATAGAGGAGGCTCTCTGCAGTGAGATGAGTCAAGCAAAAGGCTGTCGAATAAAGGACCTGCTGGATGTTGCAAATGGTCATGTGAGTAGCAGACAGCGCCTGAAAAAAAAGCAACAAAAGTATTAAAAATGCACTAAAAACCTTCCTCCGCTTTGGTTTTCAGATTAGATATTTTGGTATTTAAAATATGAGATAACTTCTCAGTGCTCAGTTGGCTGAATCCCACTAGTGTGTGATGTCCAAGGTATCCTTAGCATGTCATATAATAGTAACTTTTTGGTTTGTGTTTTTCTGCTGGTTTTTCCTCCAGCTGCTATGAATTTTCTTGTAAGGCACAGTGGACCTCATAGTGTGGCATACTGCTTAATACAATATATGTGTATGGACAGGCCTAAAACCTTAGTACGTCCATGTAGGTCTAGAGCAGTGGTTCTCAAACTGTGGTACGCGTACAGGCAGTGGTACGTGGAGTGCCGCCAGGTGGTACGCCAAATGACCCTGGAACTGTGTTGTGTGCGCTGAAAAAATCGGGACGGTTTTCATATTTTGTATTTTTATACGTGTCGAATACGCAGCCTACGTACTACGATACAGTGCGCGCTAATACTTCAGTGGACACAAGAGATACTCTGTAATTCTATACCACTCTATAGGAATGCATGCTACGGATGCAAGTGACCAATTGTATTTAAAAAAAGCTACTGTATCTCCAGCAAACAGGGAGAAAGGAGAATGTGCGTGATTTTGGAACAATGCCAACGTTGTAAACACAGGAATGCATAGAAATGCGTGCTACGAACGCTGGTAATCTTGTGAGCACAGGAAAGCGTGAAAAATAACAGAAAAATATTTAAGAACTATTCTAAGTTAATTTGAGAAAAATACACCGAGCGTCTCTGTGTTTCTCTCCCATGCGCATGAAATAAATACTTAAAATAAACACTGAAATAAAAACGGAAACGTGGAAAAATGCAAGCTTGCGAATTGCTAAAGCAGGTAAGCCCCACACTATTATGTGTGGAGAAAAAGCTGCTGAACAGCTCGACCTGCTGCCCCCCTCCCGAAAGACACAGTTATTCATAGAATTATTGAAATGAAGGATTATATCAAAAGTACGCTGACAGAGCGCGTTAAGATGAGCAGATGTTTTTCAATGCAATTAGATGAGTCTGTAGTCGATTTGGCCAATTTGCTCGTTTACGTTAGATACGAGTTTGAGGGTACGTCCCATGAGAACTTTCTGTTCTGTAAGCCGCTACCAACAGGAACTACAGGAGAGCACGTATTTCAGCTTCTGATTGAATTCATCGAAGAGAATGGCATCGACTGGATAAAATGGGTCGGAGTTTGTACAGATGGTGCTAGAGCAATGACAAGCCGACACAGCAGTGTAGTTGCACGAATTAGAGAGGTTGCTCCAGAAATTAATGGTTTCATTGCAACATCCGCGAGACCTTTGCCGTCAAGAAAATGCCTGACGATTTCAAATCTGTTAGACTGTTGTAAATTGTATCAAGGCTTGAAAAATTAATTCACATCTGCTTTGCTCGACTAAACAGGCTCACCCCTCTCACTGAAATGGTGCTTTTTTATTTTTATGTGTTGTTTTTTTTTCTGTAAAACACTTTGAGAAGCCACATTTTAATATATCAAACAAAGTTTATTATTATAATATTTATTATATGTATGTGTGAGTGTGTGTGCACATGCGCTCATGTTGGTCATTGATAATTTCTGGAGTTCCTATGAGATGATGACTTGTAGGTGGTACTTGGATGCTTTGGTTGGATTAGGGGTGGTACTTGGTCCAAAAAGTTTGAGAACCACTGGTCTAGAGTATGCAGTGGAAAGCCCCCAGGTTGATCATCAAACAGTGGTTCTAAAAAAAGTCGGTATACAATACACAAAATAATTATGGATTTAAAAAAAATGAAAAAGATACATCAAAATGGAGGTTGCCATCGGTATGTTCTTTTGCCATTGACTTTTCATGTAAGGTCAGGCTTGCCCTGAGGCACACTCAGTTTCTGTAATGTGGGAAGCAGCAGGAAACACATTTGAAGTGCCACAAAAAAGGCACAGCTTCCTGAGTGAAATAAGAATGTCTTCAACAGAGCCATCCTGAAGTATCTGATTTAGCATCTCTTGCACAGATTAGAAGGGGAGAGAGAGGAACTGCTCATTAAAATTGTGTGCATGTATTGAAATCCCTCTGCCTATAAGCTCCTGGAGTTTATCCCCACTACTTTTGTGGGGTTAGAGTTCTAGGCAAGGAAATCCTTGCAGTGCAAAGTTAATGATTCAAAGAGCAGGAGGCAGATAGTGGAGTGTAATAAATAGGATTAGACTTTGTTGGAGAGTTTGGATTGATAAATATGTTTTTTTTAGCTGAGCCTACTAAACTACACCTCAGTCGTGTCTTCATATCTGCTGAAGATAATGTTTTGTTACTTTTTACAATACAAAATGTATCATATTAATGTAGTTAGAGTCACCCTTGTCTAGGGTATTGCTCTGACCTCTTCAACTACCTTAGGAGCTGTCATTTATGATTAGAAAAAATAGAAGCCATGTTTGTTTAAAGGTTAGATTAAATAGAGCTCAGGATAAAGCAAAAACTATTCTGCCTGTGTCTGATACTGTGGCACCCAGCCAATGACCTCATTGTATTCTGAAGACACTCACTTAGGCAACAGCTTGTAATGAACAGAGTTTTACAGGACTCTGCTCCTGGGCTATGTCTAATATATTGGGCCTGTTTGTAATATTTAACATTTATTTGTATTTATGATCATTTCAGCCTGTGTGTTTGGCTTTTTGTTTCAAAGACATCACTGATATCACTCTTATTACTGTTATTAAAATGAAGTAGTCCTGGCTATGAGATCAATAATGCCAATTTCACAATTTAATGTTTTTTTAAAAAGAAAAAGCTCTGAAAGTGCTTTTCATTTTTGAGTATTAGCATATTTCTCTTGCTGAAAATGTATCCCACATTACCTTCTTGAACTGTGGGCCAAACACTAAAAACAAGGAAATATTACCTTGTTGTGATGATTTGTTTTCATTAGAAAAATTGTTCACTATTTATGATTTACAGAATTTTCTGGGAAGGGTTCCTTATTTAACCATGTAAAAACATTTTCAAGGATTTCAAATAGCCAGAAAATTTCCTGTTATATAAAATGAAGGTTGAACTGCTTACAGTACATTTCATCAAGTGCTACCCAGTTAAAAGACTGGATATGCATTATGGGGATAAGGATACTACTGGCTGTACAATTTATAAAACTAATATAAGATTAATTAGAAATGCATGCATAATGCATATATTTATGGTAAAAAAACTAGATCAGAAAGCGTAAGCTTAAAGGAAAATGTGCTAAACAAATTCTGAAATTTAAATTTGGTAGCCTTGCAGTATTGTAGCTACTACCCAGAGTTCATTGCTGAAAGCATGACATTGCCAGTAAAGCCTGCACTGTAATGACAGTCAGACTCTGTGGATTCATTTTGAAAATCTATTTCTTAAAAAAAAACAAATTTAATTCATTTTTAAACAGGTTAGATTCCAAGGGAAATTCTATGGTTAATAGGTTATTGTTCCTCTTAAATGCCTATTTTAATTAATTTTAAAATATTTTTCAAATATCATCAAACAGTTGTAAAATCTATAATTTGTGCTTTTGTTTATGTCTTCTAAAAACATTCTTACATAACAGGATGTTGACAAACCTGCACAGGAAGGGTATAACTTAAAAATACGTTTGTCAAACAATCTGAGTGCAAAAATCAACCAGAAATATTATTTTTCAAAAGTCAAAATAGAACCTAAAAGATAATGAGTTTCAATGGTGGATAACCATTGTTTTTGTGAGGAGGTTATTTTACTCAACTCTCAGCAGGTTACTTTTCCCCTAACTCAACAGAAACTGGGATAAGCTTCTGGCCTATAAGTATCTGAGTTCAGGAAGGACTTAACTTAAAAATAGGTTTGCCAAGCAATCTGAATGCAAAAATCAACCAATTGATAGCCCGCACAGTGAAATGTACAGTATATAATAATATGAATGGCAGCAAGACAACATTAAAGCAGAAGAGATATTATGAAGAACAGTCCTTATCCAAAGAATAATAAATATAATTCTGTCTTGGCTCTCTTTAAAATTACTGATGTCATCTGTGTTTTTATGTTCTCTTTTGTTTAATCCCTTGAAGGTGATTTATGAGAAAGGAGAAATGTATGCCTTTTCAAAGTACGGAAGATTCTGCCACGAGATCAAAATGAACTACTCCCCTTACACCAACTACTTCACCAGAGTCTTCTGGAACCTCTCGTACCATGTGTACAGAGTCAACACTGTCATTTCTTTCCAGTACTGAAGGGAACAGGAGCCAGAATAGACTGCCTCTGTTTGTTTACTTATATCTTTTTGTATCATTTTAGAAATGCATTTATCAAGTCATTGTTCATTTGAAAACATGTAACACACAACATATTCTGTATGATGAACAGAAAGCATAAGCAAAGACAGAGGGAATAAGGGTTCTCTCTTGCCTTTTAGCAAATATCCAAGTCTTTAGTTACAGTCCCAGCATTTTTATCCAGGTGATGGAAACTAAATGCTAGCCTATGTGTCCTTAAAGAGGACAGAAGAGGACAGAAGAGGAGAGGCCTAGTTCACTTGGTGTGTGAGACTGAGTGATGTAAGATGGGATGCAGCATTCGGAGCTCAACTGTTAGCAGCAAAAGGATGTATTTGAGATCCAAGGAGAGCTGATCTCAGAAATTTAGCAGTAGTGAAGCTTTGACACCCGGAGAAGGCTCCACGGCCGAGACCATTTTTCTTTCTTCTTTTTTTCAGCATGGAATTAACCTAGTACTTGTTCCTTTGCAGTCTACGCATGCTGACGCAGCTACCCACCTGAAGTAGTGAAGCTTTGCTCCACGGTCTAAGTACATCAGATCAAGTAGGATAGTCCTTAAGATTGCTCAGAAAGATAAAACGATGCTGAGATAAAAGGGCCACTTCAATTTACAGCTTGACATTCTGGTTCAGAGAGATGGCTCAGTCTGTCACACCCTTGCAAGGGACTGAGCTGTTATTCCCAACACAAAATATGAATGTACTGGAGAAAGGTTTAATTTATTTTTGTTCTCTAAAACATTTGTGTTTTTAAACTTCTTTACCAACCTTAGTAGTTGTTGTCATTTTTTCTTATTAGTTTCATGAAGGGCTTGTTTACTACTATATGTAAAATGTTTAAAAATATTCTCTTTTAAGTTCTGTATTTAACATAAAGATTGCAACGCTAGTAATAGCCCTATTGTACAGAGGGTCGGTGTACTTGTTGAACCTAGTAAAAAGTTAATAGATGCCTGGATACAAGTTACTCTACATTGTGGCCAGTGATATCACTCATATCAGCCATATCACTCTGCAACTCACAAATGGCAACCCACTGAAGCTAAGCAGGTGTGAGCGTGGTCAGTACCTGGATGGGAGACATCCTGGGAAAAACTGCAGGTTGCTGCTGGAAGAGGTGTTAGTGGGGCCAGCAGGGGGCACTCACCCTGCAGTCCATGTGGGTCCTAATGCCCCAGTATAGTGACACTATACTGTAAACAGGCGCCGTCTTTTGGATGAGACGTAAAACCGAGGTCCTGGCTCTACTGTATGTGGTCATTAAAAAATCGCAGGGCGTTTCTTGAAAAGAAAAGGGGTGTAACCCTGGCGTCCTAGCCAAATTTCCCATTGGCCTTTAACAATTATGGCCTCCTAATAACCCCCATCTATAAATTGACTTCATCACTCTGCTCTCCTCCCTACTGATAGCTGATGTGTGGTGAGCATTCTGGCACACTATGGCTGCCGTCGCATCATCCAGGTGGGGGCTGCACATTGGTGGTGGTGGAGGGAAGTCCCCATTAACTGTTAGAAGTGCTTTGAGTGACGTTTCCAGATTTGGAAGGAAAACTAGTACTGTAATGAGAAGAGGTATGATTCATCATTCTTGACACCTAGACCATGAAACTGGAGGTAAGCAGTACAAATGTTTTCAAACACTGTTTTCATACAAAATACAACATTTTGAGTACCAGTAAAATTGAGTCTAGCATGAGTGGGGCATACCAGAAAGGTAACACAATACCCACCTCTGGATCTTATTGAGATGCAACCAGTATAGTGTTGGTACCACATGCCCCCTTATCAGTTCTCTGCTTTCTTCTCAGTTTAGCCCCGTTATTAATAATTACCCGAAAAAGCTGGTATTTTTAGTTGTGATGATATCCGGATATCTCAATATTTAGTTTTACTGTGATTAAATTGTATAACTATAACGAATTATTATTTTGATTCCAAGCACCTACAAGTGAGATAGCTAAAGATAATCGTTTATTTTAAAATATTAATAAATGCATCCTAGACATAGTAATACGAGTGACATTGGTAGTATTATGACTACAATGGGTTTCTCTTGTAGATAACTGGAACACGTTACATACTACAGTATATATTACACTAACCCCCCAGTTTTTTACAGATGTGCTTTATTACTTACACTCCTCAAGTGGCTAGTTTTACTTGACTCAACTTGTGTTAATCTGTTAGCTGTTCTTTCTGTAGTTTTTATTTTATAACATACCAAAGTTTGATATTCATGATGTATGGTAAGTGTGGTGCATATACTGTAGAAGTTGACTCTGGTAGCCTCATTTTAATATTTTATGTTACCAAACTGTTGAGCTGAATTTATCAGGTATTGTTAATGATGTACTGGTTTGCTGAAGTTTGTGCCAACATGTAGGAAAATCCTTTCACCTCTCCTTTACAATGTGTATATACTAAAGTTCAGTTGGGACCCAAGGATGAGCTGAGCTCATCTCACCATTCTTAGTGTATATTAGAAGTCAACATATTCTATCCATTATTTTTACCTGATCTGTACCCTCCCATCTTGTATGTGCTTGACTATTTTATGTTTTAAAGTTGACTGTCAAAAGACTGGGCGAAAGCCAGGACAAAACTTTATTTAGTGTGGCCACACTTCATCAGGTGCAGCTATGGCATCACAACAGGAATAACCTTTGCAAACAAATTTGTTGAAGATAACTTGCCACACAGTAGGTGTGTTGTCTGTTACTAGCATCAGTATTTCAGCTAAAACCGACATTTTTTCTCAATCAACTTTCGCAGTGAGTATCAGTCCATCACAGATTAAAAATTTATCACATGAAGATGCAACTTTTTAATGTTGGAGGTCTGTCTATCTGTATGTCTGAAAAGACTGAGAATGTGAGAAATCACATTCTTTGTGGGGACATGCTGAGAGTATTACAGATAGTAATTGAGAATGCATTAAATAAAAAAATTACACACTTCCATGCTTTTGTTGTTTTTTAAGTGTAGTAAATGCAGTATTTTTAGTGCCTTACAATGATTTCCTTTTGAACTAATGTGTCAACCTCTGAACCTTCGAATCCTGTTTTTTCTTTTATTTTTTTGTAGAAGCATTTTTTTATTTTTTTGTGTTTAGTTTTCAATTATTTTTCCACGTTGTTAATCGGCTTGGTTTTACTGTTGCGACTGCAGTAGGAAATTATGGTAAAATGTTACATACAGTACCTTGCGAAAGTATTCGGCCCCCTTGAACTTTTCAACCTTTTGCCACATTTCAGGCTTCAAACATAAAGATATAAATTTTTTATTTTATG